GGTTATATAAGATAACCAAAGGAATGTGACATTCCAAAGCTCACATTCCGGTGTTTGGTTCATATTATCTCAAGGAATCTAACATTCCCAAGGAATGTCACATTCCCTCCACATAGGATTTTGAAGGGAATGTGATTCCCTTCAAAATCTTAGGTAATCTAAGATAACCTTGGTTATGTTAGTTATATATATATATATATATATATATATATATATATATATATATATATATATATTTGTAATTATATATATTTTTTTTTATTTTTATTATGTTATGTTAGTTTATAAAATAATTTTGTTTCTCAAGTTCAAGATTTTAGTTAATATTTTAAAATCATGTGATTATATATGATACCGTTATCTTATTTATTTATTTTAATTTTTAAATTTATTAAAATATATGAAAATATGTTAAGGATATTATAGTGTGTATAAAAGATAACCCTAAACCAAACATCATTATATTACATACCCCAATTTTAACCAAACACAGGAATCTAACATTCCCAGTAATCTAACATTCCCAGTAATCTAACATTCCCTAAGGTAATCTTACATTCCGTGAACCAAACGACCCCTAAGGGTTTACTTGAATGTCAAGATTCAAGAAAGTTGAAGGATAAATTGGCCTTAGTTACAAGTGAGGAATTCTTATTATGTGTTTCTTTGAATTAAAAGGAAGTCCAAAATGAGATAAAATATGGTATCTATTAGGCAGTACAATTTATTCAAAATCCAACTAATTATGCAACACTAAGCTGGAAGGGAAATGCAGTCACCATTTCCCCCACACCCAGGAATAGTGACTGGAAAACTTCATATCCCTTCTGAATGCGTAACAGAAGATTTTTAATTTTAGACTTTACCCTTGCTTACTCGATAATCAATTAATTACAATTTACATATATAGAACTGTACTTATTTTCATGTAGCAAGTCTCAGACTCTCAGGTAATCACTGTAAGATTATTTTTTTGAAAAAACACCAAGGATGGAATAACCTTTAATACAATTACTTACTAAAAAAAACCTAAAGTAAAAACATAAAAAGACATTAAAATGACTTGATTTGATAAATTGTACAAATTGACTTTCTCAACACATCTCAAGACAAACAATCCATGAGACCATTGCATCCATTACATTCTTGCACATACCTTTTAAAAATCTAAACTAAACCATAATTCTAATTTAGTTGAGGTTAATTATAAGAATTGTACATATCCCTTAAGTCATAGTAGTGTATCTTTCTTAATAGCTTAGTAACAACTAAGTTTTGGTCTTCTTGTTCCTTTTCTAATTGGTTAAAATATATGTATAGAGTAAACACATCCAACCTATCTGAATTGATTTTCTCAATTTGTCTTATGCCACACTTCAAATACGAAGTAAAATTAATCTAATGTGGTCTCTTTTTGTTTTTTGGAACTTAGCACTCTTTTCTTAGTTACTTATCTTGTACACATCTTAACTCTGTTTAAGCTCATCTTAACAGAGCAATCTAAAATCCAATCAAATGAAGAGAGCTGTGGCAGATCACATTTCTATGAAATGAATGTGTGTGTTTATATAATTATTTCCCAAAGGGAAAAGTTGAAAACACCCCTAATTCAAAGGGCAATCTTTCTAACCAATAGTTAATAAAATACACTCACATTGTAGCTAGACTACTGTCATTAGCTAAGAGCCACGCCTTTTCTAATGAACTAATCAATAATAACCATACATTAAATAAAGAACTCATCATCCATATTATAGAAAAGGATTCCCTGCTCATTCATACAATCTGCAATCCTAAATGATGAGCTTCATCAAACAAAAATGCCAAAAACAAATACAGATGAGATGCTAATGCTCCAATGGCAGTTTATAGTTTCTCTCAGGAGCTTGAGCAAACCAAAGGCAGTTTATAGTTTCTCATACCTTAAAACAAAAATATATTATTAAAAATTGGAAAAAAGAAAAAAAAAAAAACCGAACCTGCAGGGCGGTGGCTGTGGCGTCGCAGGGGAGCGACGGAAGCAAATCAGCGGTGGAGATGGCGTTGGCGAGTGCAGATCGGCGAAGCTGTGGCGTCGCGGTGGTGGATGCGATGGCTGATCTGAACTGAAGGATGCGGTGGTGCGATGCGGTGTGCGTCTGATCTGAACTGAAGGATGCGGCTATGCGGTGGGTGCGTCTGATCTGAACTGAAGGATGCGGCTATGCGGTGGGTGCGTTTGATCTGAACTGAAGGATGCGGCGGTGCGGTGGGTGCGTCTGATCTAAACTGAAGGGTTGAAGGGTGCGGTGGATGTAAGGGTTGAAGGATTAGATCTGAACTGTGAAGTCTTAGGGTTAGGCGGGAACATAAAAAGAATTCTTCTTGTTTTTTTAGAAATACTTTCCGCCACTATTTCAAACCAAAGTGGCGGGTTTTTTTTAAAACCAAACTTTCAAAGCTTTATTATAACCTGTATTTGTACCGGTGCGAAAATTTAAAAAAAAAAATACAATTAGGCGTATGCACATTGATTATAATAAAATGAAGATAATATTTATCAAATTCGTTTATTAATTATTAAATACTTCTTTATATACAACATTTGTAATTGAAGAACCACATTAGGCATCTTCTTTGCATACAAGTACTTTGAGGCCATATGGACTACTAACTCTAGAAACCGCAACATATAGTTGTCTATGAAAAAAAAAATGATATCTTTAGAAGCAAGCCAACATTTGATAGCGTTTGACCTTGAGTTTTTTTTTTAATTTATTTATTTTCATTGCGTAAGATAACATTGAGAATTGTCTTCTTGTGAATTTAAATGACACTATTGGACCTGAAGGCATCAAATTGGTAATTTCGTTATAGTTAAGGGACCATTTCGGCAATTAACTCTTTTAAAATTAGTATATATTCCAAATATTGCAAAACTATGTAGTTTTCATTGGGCGGAAAACTTTTTATAATTTTAATTATCAAAATGTTGTGGCTTTATTATAGTAAAATGATTTCTTGCCACCGTTTCAAGTTGAAACGGTGCCGGAATGTAAAAGCGTTATTTTAATTTTTCAAACTGCATCCGTTATAGCTAACAACAGTGGCGAATTATCTATCGATTATTTACGAAATTATCACCGCGAATTTTTAATTAAGAATACACCACTGTTCTTTTAACAACAGTGGCTAAATATATGCATTTTCATTTATCTATAGTAGTTTCATAATATTCATTCTATATGTTCATAAAAATAAAGCTTAATGTACATAGATAGTATACTATGAACACATCATGTTTAGTAATATTCATTATGTGCTATACTCAGAATATTTGTTCTATATGTCCATAAACATAAGCATTAATGTTTATAAAAACAAAGTTTAATGTATATAAATATTAGACCGAAAAATTGGATGACAAGACCAAATGTGATACAAAATACACAGTCATGCACCTAATTAAAAAAATTTAATAGTCAAGGACCAAGTGTGATTCATGTATAATACTTAATGGACTAAAAGCGAAATTTATTATAATATTTATTCTATATGTCTATAAAATAAGTTGTAATATCAAAAAATCATAAACTAAATGTACATCATATGTATTTCCATTCATTTTATAATAGGTTCATAATGTTTCTATATGTTAATAAAAACAAAGTTTAATGTACATAAATATTACACTAGAGTAATAAATTTATATACCTATAGATCTATTTAATAATAACAAATAAAATATAATATATGGATGTCATTCAAAAGATCTTAATTTAGAATTTTTAATGATATATTTTTTATACATTAGTTTTATTTTTACAAAAAGAAAAGGAGAAAAATAAACTCAAGTTAAAATTAAGAGTTAATTCCATTTTTGGTCCTAGATTTATAGGTAGCAGTCCACTTTTAGTCTTTTTTGTATCAGAACATTCATTTTTGGTCCTAATATTATTGTGACACGACTAGTTTTAGGCCTTTATAAAAAAAAAAAAAAGTTGAAATTTCGTTAAATACAAGGGCATTTCGCTCCTCAATAATGAATTTTTTCAAAAAAAAAATAAACATAAAAAATATAACGAGTCAACACACTTTGTATTAAATAGATCAAAATGTCTTTCAATTTAATGAAATTTCAACGATTTTGTCGATAGAGGACCAAAATTGATCATGTCACAATAATACTATGACCAAAAGGAGATGTTTTGAGAAAAAAAGGACTAAAAGTGGATTCTGACCTATAAATCTAGGACTAAAAATAGAATTAACTCTAAAAATAATATAAAATTACCATATGAAAGGAAAGTGTAATTAATTTTAATTTGAAATGATATTACAAAAATGTCTATGTGTTTTGGTGAGAAAATTTGGCTAGACACTTCTGTTATTATATAGATATATATATATATATATATATATATAGATATATAGATATAGATATATAGGGAAGTGATCAGGTGCGGGTGGACTCACATTAAGCATTACACTAGCGCACTTTAAGTACACAACAGACGCACATTAAACACACAAACAAAATACATCCAGAACATAAACTCACGCACCTTAAGTTTTAGCAACAACTTACATTAAGTACACACTCACGCATATTAAGTACAAAACTCACGAACCTTAAGTACAAAACTCACGCACATTAAGCACAAAACTCGTTAAGTTTCAACAACAACTCACATTAAGTACATTCTCATGCACATTAAGTACACAACTCACGCACTTTAAGTACAAAACTCACACGCATTAAGCACTACACACTCACACACATTAAGCACAAGACTCACGAACATTACGTACAAAACCCACATACATTAAGTACAAAATTCACGCACATTAATCACCCGCACAACCGCACACGGGAAACATTCACCCGCACCAGAATTTTAACCTAGCTATATATATATATAGGTAGATATATAGATATGTAGATATATATAGATATAGAATATAGAATATAGATATAGACATATAGATATAGATATATAATTTATTAAATACAATTCTAATACAAAATCTAAATATTATTTTACATCACAAATAAATCTTACTCCATGGTATAATTTGCCTCACACGGCACATCCATGCAAACACAAGCACGGAGAATGAGCAGCACCGCCATTACTTTTCCTTCGTCCTCCTCTATTGCAGCGGTGGGAACGCCGGCGACGCGGACTCGGGTAGGCAAATATGAATTGGGAAATACGTTGGGGGAGGGCAGTTTTGCAAAGGTCAAGTATGCCACCAACCTCGACTCCGGCGAGAGCGTCGCCATCAAAATCATCGACCGTGACCGCATCCTACGTCACAAGATGGTCGAAGGGGTCCTAATTTCTCGTCCTCTTATTTATTTCAGTATTTCTTTATTCATATCAACGCCTTCCTGTTTTACAGTTTGTGTTTTCATTTCTATATATATACTTGAGAAAATTCGAACTTTGATACCTCCGGATGTTTTGTGATTCCCCAGACCTAATTTTTATATCTATATGATGAATTTGGATCCCATTTTTGGTCTGCTAGATTAAGAGAGAAATATCTACAATGAAGTTGATCAAACATCCCAATGTTCTAAGAATCTTTGAGGTACTTTCAAATCCTGTTGCATTCTCTTTAATATTGTCTGTCTTAGCTTGTTCCTTTATATCGAAAGTCGAAACTTGTATGGCCAATGTGACCATCCCAATTTTCGTGTCTTATAGCCCAGTAAGCATGAAATAAATTTACATTAAAAATCTAAAAACATTTTTTTCCATTTGTTAAAATTTACTGGTTTCATATTGAAGGAAATCAAATTAAAATTGATTCTTCATTTCTTCTCGTGGTTTTCTATTGCACCAAAATTGGAATATGTGGTATACTGGTATTCTTTTTTTTTTTTTGAAATTGCTTGATTGGACCCAAAAATCTGTTCCCTTTTAGTGTTGTATTTCTTCCAAGTTGAAAACTAGTTGTATATGAAAAATAGGTTCTGGCAAGCAAAACAAAGATTTACATTGTACTTGAGTATGCAAATGGGGGTGAGCTCTTTGATAAAATAGTAAGTGTTTGATACCTTGAACTTTTATAGGGTCTTTTCTTTGATTACTTGCTATGGCAGTTTTATTTGTTGCAATTTTTGCCAGGCTAGACATGGGAGACTTAAGGAAGATGAAGCTAGAGGATATTTCCAACAGCTTATCAATGCTGTGGATTACTGTCACAGCAGAGGTGTTTACCACAGAGATTTGAAGGTTGCAAGAAACTGTTCACCCTTCATAAATGACTGACTTTTTTCTTTGAAATCTCAAACTTTTGTTCCACGGTTCATTCATGTGGCCTAACTTCTTCTGTTTTTTTTTTAGCCTGAGAATCTATTGTTAGACTCATTTGGCATTCTTAAAGTTTCTGACTTTGGGCTGAGTGCACTTCCAAAGCAAGTGCGAGTAAGTGCTGCAAATCTTCAAGCTTGATTTATTATAGGAACTACTTTCATAGATGCATGGGAGCATAGATCTACTACTAAACGAAAGAAATTTATCCAGAAAAAATTTACATGTCAAAGTTGAGTTGTCAAGAGCATAAATGATGCTTGCTTGTAAACTTTGTAATAATTAGACATGTTTTACCTGCAGCATATTGCTGATGAAGAAATATGGAATCATATAATCATCATCAGTAAATTATACAAGATCCAGATTCCACATCCCTCATTTAATGGTTTAGTTGTGTGGGGGTACTATTGAGCTCTTGCCAAGGCCTTTTTAGGAAAAAACTATATACTCATGTATAGGTATTGATGAATCTCATGGAAGGAAAGTGCAAATTTGACCTTCTATGTCATTTTGGGCGAAGAATTTCTTGTGATGACAGACCCTTTCTATCTCATTTATGGAATTCTTCTGAATTAATTACATCTGCAAAAGCATGGTAGATATCTTAGATGATCCATATAGTTGTTAGCGTCTGAATTTCTAAGGATTTGGAAGTGGGTGACAAGTTGGGTACTAAATAAAAAATTCAGATTAAATGCTGCTGCAGTGCTGCCTTGACTGATATAACTATATACTTCTCAAGTTGCTCTTTTTGTTAAATGTTATTTACAATATCACTTGAATGCTAGACTTGGTGTAGTTGCTAGTCTTTCTTGTTGACCACTAGGTCATTAAACCTTGGAGGCAACCTCTCTAAAAGTAGAGGTAAGGCTGGTTAGGTTGCACAACCACCCTCCATGATGCAAGAGCCTTGTGCACTTAGACCTTTACCTTTGTTGTTAACTATATTGTTTCTTTGTCATATTCTATAGTCCATACACATTCCTACTGGAGATAATTCCATTAACTTAATTTAGAGCTTCTTATTTTGTCATCATTCTTATCGTTATAGGAAGATGGACTCCTTCATACTGCTTGTGGCACACCAAATTATGTTGCCCCTGAGGTAAGAATTATTAGATGTTTGGGAAAATAGTTGAGTACTCAATATTTTTCAGTTTCTTGTATCATTATCTATTGCATCAGGTGCTCGCTGACAAAGGCTATAATGGTACATCTGCCGACGTATGGTCTTGTGGAGTCATTCTTTTCGTTTTAATGGCAGGATACTTGCCATTTGATGAACCAAACCTCACGGTTTTGTATAGGAGAGTAAGTTTATGGGCATAAGGGCATTGGTCCTTAATCTAGTATTTTGAATCCCACTTTAGTCATCATGTTGATTACTTTTTGTTTCTTTTTCCCAGATTCAAAAGGCTAGTTTTGCTTTTCCATCATGGTTCTCATCAAGTTCCAAAAAGCTAATTAAACGTATTCTTGACCCAAATCCTGTCACAGTGAGTCTCACAACTTATACCGATTGTTACTTCTTTATAATATCAACTATTAACTTTTATTGATTATTTTTGTCAATCTCATTTTGATCACAAAAGAATACACTCAATAATAGAGTTATTATGTCATTACTACTGAAAACAAGTTTCTAAATCAATTTTAGGCTAATGTTTTATGGAAAGATCCAAGTGTGAAAGAAGTAAGAGCTCTGTTTATGCAAGTTAGTTGTGAAAGAAGAAAGGGCTTTATGTATTCCTGTGTGTCAAAATATGTACAAAGGGTCCTATATTACACAGGTAATGAATTGGCTTACAGTTTCTCAGCAGGAATAGGCTTAGATGGTGGTGCAGCCTGTGGATTTGTGGTAGGCAAAGAGGATAGAGAGCCAGGTGACTCACTAGGAACCTCAACCGTTGTTGGTTCCATCACAATGGTTTTATTATATTGATACACCATTGTTATCTTATCAACTTGTTATGACAATGAGATATAGAGCGAATAAAAAGCAACAACCATGTAGTGTCTTTATTTCTTCTTGTATAAAGGTTTATTCTCTCCCTGCCTCACCATTAAAGGCTTATAATGTGGTTGTGGTTGCTACCCCATTAAGCAAATGCATCTAAGCTTTCCTAGGCCATTTGTACAACTGCCAAGTCCAATCATCTACAAAAATAACCTGCCCACACAATTTATCGAGAGATCTGATTAAAGATATAAACTTCTCTGGATGCCATAAGAAGAACACCTTTCTAGAGTCCCTCCACAGCATACATATATAATCTAACTTCTGCTTACGAGCTTTTCCTCATTTCTTGATATTTTGTCACATCTGTTGATGATTATTAATAGATGCATGTAGGTTTTTTTTTTTTTTTTTTTTTTTTTAAATAAAATAAAATAATTTTGTTATTTTAATGAAAGATTGTTTTGTTATTTGAAAATTCTTTGAACTTCTGTGCTATAATACAAACACAATTTGACAGACTCATTTGAGTTTTCCATAGTGACAATACTAATGAATATTTCTCTTCCCCTCATAAATCCTATTATGGCTTCTTGAATCTTGGGTAATAAACAGATGCCTTCTTTTGCTATCATTCTGTTTTTTGTCCTTCCTCGTACATTTGACTGTCTACTTTGTTCATGACATGACCCCTAGTATTTCCATTCCTTACCATAAGGGTTAATATTGACATGACATGACCCCTGGTTATTATCACCTACATAAGGGTTAATATTGTTATTCTCCTGAACACATACACCACTTTATCTCTTCTGATGTTACATCCTTTGAGTCATCCTCGTATTTCCATTCCTTACCATCAGATCACACTAATCTAAGGATTTCCACCATACTCAGTGTGTGACCAATAGCTATTGGACTGCATCATGAGTTCCTCACTGCTTTTAAACTTCCTTGCATTTAATTTTCAGAAACCTATCCCTCATTATCCAATAACTTTTTGTACAGTTATGCACTTGTGTCATAAACTGAGCAAGTGACCATTTTCCATGCTTTTCTAGTTTTCACTGCCGATCAGTCCATTTTCTTTTAGTTTTTCACCCGTTCACTATTTTCCTTGTCTTTACTAAACACAATATGAAAATACTGGTATGCTTTTTCTTTTCTTTTTTTTGTTCTTTTCAGCGAATAACAATTCCAGAGATTTTGAAAAATGATTGGTTCAAGAAAGGTTACAAACCACCTCACTTTCAGCCAGATGAGGATGTAACTCTTGATGATGTGGATGCTGTTTTCAATGACTCAGAGGTAAGGTGTTTTGTTTATAATTAATGTTGGCTTTGGTCTGCTCCTTGTAAAGTGTAGTTTGAAAGTGCAAACATAAGTTTGCTTCCCTCTTTAGTGACCACATGCTCAGCATGATTTTGATGAGATCCAACGTCAGGGAGAATTTAATCCCTTTGAATGGAAAAGCAATGACACTACAGGAAAGACCTTTTGGGCAATAAGGAATCCAGTGCTCTCACCATACATTTCTGTTATTATTTATTAGCAGAAGCATCTTCACCCCCCCCCCCCCCCCCCCCCCCCCTCCCACTATATTGTGTATATCATTTATTTATAGTCCACTCTCTGTTGGTGTTTATAGATGAAGAAAATCTACTGTATTAATTATCAAGTTTTACTACATAATTAGGCTACATGGTTATATCTCCCACTTACAAGTTTAATCCCTATAACCAGCAAGTGAGCATATCTGATTTATTTATTTATTTCAATAATAATAATCTTTTTAATAATCTGTCAGGAAAATCTTGTTACCGAAATGAAAGAGAAACCTGAATCCATGAATGCCTTTGAACTTATTTCTAGGTCTCACGGTTTCAATCTGGAAAATTTGTTTGAGAAACAAATGGTACGTCCATATAAACACACATTTTGTTCTATGTATAACATGCAATCTTTTCCTGATGCTACTATTTTTATATTACATGAAAATATAAAGAATCTTCATTCCCAGTTACTAGTTGTAGAAGCTCCATTTGTTGAAAATTTAGAGAAGTGCATGCTCAGATAGTCATTGGATTTTTGAATGCTCAATGTCTGATTTCAAAATGGATTTTAAATTAAATGTGTTGTTTGTGTTTGTGTAACATAGTTGTTACCTTTTGAATGGACATACAATGTACAGAACCATGTAAAAAGAGAAACATGCTTTACTTCCAAGAGCCCTGCAAATGAAATAGTGTCTAAAATTGAGGAAACAGCAAAACCTATGGGTTTCAATGTCCAGAAAAGAAATTACAAGGTACTAACTTAAACCTTTAGCACATCATGTAAAGTTTCCGATGTTGGTTAATTGATTTTTACAGAGTATTGTCACATTGTAATTATATTGCTCTGATGTATTTCACAATCTCACTGGTTAATCATTATCTTGAATTTAGATTAAATTACAGGGTGATCAGACTGGGAGGAAAGGTCGTCTTTCTGTTGCCACTGAGGTATCAACTTAACCTTGCTAATGGAAAGCCTTCACTTTTTTTTAGTCATATGAAAAGTGTGGTGCACTAAATCAGTAATGGCATATTCCTTCCTGTGGCTTCAATTTGTTCAGATGAATAGCATAACTATAGATGAATTCTATACTGTTGCTATTGCAAAAAAATAAAAGGTCCATTTGATCCCTACTCTTTGCTGCAGGTGTTTGAGGTGGCTCCCTCCTTGCACATGGTTCAACTCCGGAAAACTGGTGGTGACACTTTAGAATTTCACAAGGCATGTCTAATTTTGATTTCTAGAAGTCTACTCAGAACTGCTAATTCAATTCTAAGATAATAGCTAATAATTTATTTATATTTTCACCATCTGGAAAATGGCAGTTCTACAAAAATTTGAATTCTGGATTGAAAGATATAGTCTGGACTACTGAACAAAGTAATAACGAAGAACCAAAGGTCTGCTTCTTTTTTATTTTTATTTTTTACAACATATGTGAATTTATCTATTCCATGTTTATGTTTATGTTTATGTTTGTGGTAGCTACCTTGTGGATGTCTCATGTGCACGGATCACACTAATTCAATTAGCTAGTGTTTGTATTGAACTCTTCAACCTTTGCTCCTAAATAAAATCATATTCTTTAAATTGGTTTGCTTACTTCATACAGGTAGCTTAGATCAAAATAATGGAAGATGAACATCGATCTAGTGAGGTTCTTCAATTCCTGGCGTGTGGTTATACTCTGACTTTGAACCATAGTGGGTTTCATGTAAGATCTTGTTGTCATTGTTAGATCGAGGGCTTAGATCAGAGAAGTTTGCGTGGGAAGACAGACACTCATTCTTGAAATTATGATTAACCTTAGCTTGATCGTGTGTTTATGCTTTTGACTTATCAACCAGATGAACGAAATTAGCACACGTATGAATTGGATGCTGCACTGAACCAGTTTGCCACGTCAAGCTGAGAAGTAACAATCTTTCATGAGAAATGAGAATGGCCTTGTATTAAGTTTGTGTTCAACTGATTCTCTAACATTTTATATAATAGATACTGGATGTTTCGTAATTTACCTGAATTATATGGATAAAGGCTTTATAGTTAACCAATTTCCTATATAGTTTGATTTATTTTTTATTTTTTAAATGGTTCCGTAAAGTATAGATCATTTTTAGTCATTTTTAATTTATATCATTTTGTATTAAATAATTAATTAATTCTGTATGCACATTTAATAACATTTTTTTTATATGTCAATGATCTAATATATATATATATATATATATATATATATATATATATATATATACATATATATATATATATATATATATATATGCTTGTTTTTTGTGATGTCTTGTTGTAAATGGATAATTAAAAAATGCAATTGTGATAGAACCATTACTCTCTTTTTTATTTTTCTTTTTCTTTAAAAAAAATAAAAATGACATTAATTGCAAGAGTTTATAGATTGAAGACTCGCTCCAACTTATTGACATCAACGTACATAAATTCGTAATATTTATTTTAACTAGTAATATTTAGTAAACTTATAAACCAAAACAATTTTGAATTTTTAGCTACATTCCAATGTCAAAAAAAAAAAAAAAAAAAAAAAGTGTCTTGACAAACTTCAATGTTTAATTAATTATTTAATACAAAATTATATAAATAAAAAATGAAACACGAATGGATGATTATTATATTATGTCGAAAAATGATTATTATTTTATGAAAAAATTATGGGAAGAACGAATGGATGATTCGGGTTGGTGGTTAGCACGAGTTGAGCGAAAACTCTTTTCCAAAAGTGTTAGGAGCGTTGCCTAGATTTCGCAGGGTAAAACACGGTTGAAAGAACATTTATGCTATACAATTCTGATATGGTTAATTCCCGATTGTACGCAGCGAGTATACCGTATGTATAAACTATAGTGTATATATGAACAATGTAGAGAATAAGCAAGAGGAAATAGCTTAAAGAGATCTTTTATTCATAAGTGTTCTTATATTTTCTAGAAGGAACCCCTAAAATGGAGGGCCAAGGCCCCTTTTATAGGTCCAAGCGTGGGTGGGTTTGACTTTGACCCGTGGACCAAGACCTGAACCGAACCGTTTGACCCCGACCCAAACAAGAGCACAGAGCGTACGGGGAACCTAAACCCGGAGTATATTCTCCATCAAGAAGCCCCACAGTCTGTGCCCTGACGATGAGTTAATGAGGAAGGGTTCGAGCTGGAAAACCGACTGTTTATTCCTATTCCATTTATATTCCTTTAACCAACCAAACACTGTAATACAATTACTAAAGTCTATTCCTTCATCGAACCAAACAATAAAATACAATTCATATTATATTCCTTACCTATTTCATTCCATGTGGAATAACATTCATATTCCCTCCAAATTCATTCCGTAAACCAAACGTGTTGTAAAAGAAGAGAGAATGTATTGGGTTCTTGTAGGAAAAGTTGGTTTTTGAAAAAAAAAAATGCCTTCTTTGTTATGCGTGAAACACACCACAAGTGCCCAATCGGACGCGTGCAGTACACCACCACGAGAGCCTCCACGATGAGTTGCGCCTGCCCGATGTAGTCCGCCGGTGATGAATTCCCTTAACGCAGTGATTGGAACTGCCCAAGGAGATTCAAGCAGCGAGCCCGCGTGCTAGAGCCCAAGGCGGCAGTGATGGAGTCCCACACCTCCTTCGCCGTGTTCCGGCCAACCGCTAGGTGTAACACCTCGTCGGACATGGAGGAGACGAGAAGCAACAGTATGGATTGGTCTTGCTTCACCCATGACCTGTAAGCCGGATTAAGGACCGGACCGGTGGTGGCCACGCTGAATGCGGAGTCGCCGGGAGGGGAGTCGTCGACAGTAGGCGGTGGACACACAATTTCGTCGTCGACATACCCGAGCAGCTCTTGACCCTGGAGGAACGAGAGTAGCTGCGTACGCCAAAACAGGTAATTTCTGGAGGTTAATTTTATCGACACAAAGTGATGTGCCGAGGATAGGGGATTGGAGGTAGTGGCCGGCTGTGGGGCAATGGTGGTGATAGTTCTTTCATATGAATTTGTCGACATTTTGGGAGAGGAGGAGGAAAAAGAGGAGGATCTAACCTAAGGCTGAATTTGATACCAGATGAGAGAGGAAATTCAATTCAGTTTCAGATGATAAGAGTTACAATTCCAAGACTATGTGGTCTAATGGTACTCGGGTTGGACTTCCACAGTAGATTGAGAATGTATATGAACAGATGGCGTTATTGACTCTTTGTGTTTCAGTAGATTGAGAAAGTATATGAACAGATACGACGTTATTGGCTCTTAGATACTACATTGTAATAGAGGAGAGTGACCAAAAGTAGTATAATGTGGCATCATCTTTGAATTTGCAGTATATCATATAACTCAAAACATGGTATGTAACAAATAAGACATGTGGCATCATCTTTGAATTTGCAGTATATCATATAACTCAAAACATGGTATGTAACAAATAAGACAGGATCAAGGTGGCATGCAACTAAAACTTTATATACAAATCTTATACAACATCTTCACCCCCATATAAAACCTTGAGGACTGAAGAAATGTTTAGTTGTACAAGGACACCATACCCAATTTTTACAGATAACATAAACCAAATGCTAACATGGAAATCATAAACCTCAATTTCAAAATAAATAAATAAATAATAATAATAATAATAATAATAATAATAATACTTAATAATAATAAACATGGACAGATATATAAACAATTTGTCCGCATCATTCATTCAATTCACTGCCTACTTCGTTATCCATTGCTTCCTCGCTGCTTGCAATGCCTCCTCCCTCATTCTTGACAGCTGTTGAAACCACTGCTGGTAATGCTCTTCAATTGACGCAAGATGCACATTTAGCTCCGTCGTCTCCCGGGTTTTCTCCATCGACAGAGAATTGCCTGCTGGGTTCAGAAATATACGTGTTCCACTCATATCTGCAAAAGTCCATTCCATGTGCTTTGTTAATTCACTTACATTTCCATTTCCCTGCACTTTATATTCATCCTGCCATAAATCCCACAAATCCATATCTGAAATCATCCCACCCGAACCTTTACACATCCCATCAACACCGTAATCTACACTTCCGGATGACATCATATTCCTTGCAGAAACATGATTACCCATAACCATAACCTCAAATGCAATTGATCCTTGAGATTCTTTATCCACCATTTCAGCCACATGAGAAGATGCAACTCTTGAATGGAGATACACCTTCCCCTTATCAACTTGGGAACTAATTTCGCTTTGACTACTTGAAATATCATCTTGATGAAGAGTTGAATTGGAAGTACAGCCTGTCATGGCCTCATCCCCTTCACATGTACTTTTTCCTCCACTACAATCATACTCAGATGAGGGCTTCCAACCAGGTATAATTCTCATTATTAGGTAATTGATAAAATCCGCAATGAAAGCAACATCGTGCTTGGCTAGCTCCAATTGTTCAACCATCTCACCCGCAACTGAAAGTGCGGTGTCAGTGTCAAGATAGAAGAGAAAGTGTATATTCCTCACTTGACCTGTCAGGAAAAAAAAAAAAAAAAAAAGTGAAAAAGAAAAAGTCACATGCTAATTCCTAGAAGAAAAAGAAGAAATAAATTCTTCTGCACATACCACAGGGATCTGCAATGCGCAAGGTCAATGAAATTGAGCTGTCATCATTCTTCTCTCCCCTTAACTTGAATTCATTATTCCGATGAAATCTTTGGAATTCCAATACTTGAGCATTTGGACTTTCACAATTGGAGTCTGTACTCGCAGACTGGTTATGCTCAGGATCTATATCCATTGAGTTAGGTTCATAGTTCAATGAACTTAATGATATTGGAATTTGATTAGGTAACTGCAATGGAACGTATAGTGGCTTTTTAGATTTCTCTAATTGAAAAAAGGCATCTTTAAGAAGCTCCTTAGCAGGCGACCTTTGAGGTGCTGCAACCAAACATTTCTTGATGAATTCTCTGACTTCAGGATCAGTAACCTTGCTTAGAGATGCAGGTTTTATACCCTGAGTATGCAGTATGCCTTAGATATTGATAACGAACTACATAAAAAATAAATATTGAATAGTTTTTAGGCAAAGATAGCTGAACTAACCGAGGTAACTTTCTTATAAATTTGTGCTGGATTCTTGCACTCACTGTAAGGAAAATCCAAGGTGACCATTTCCAGCATACACATGCCAAAGGAATAGATGTCAACTAGTTCATTATATTCCTCTTCATAAAGCTCAGGGGCCATAAATTCAGGAGTTCCTGGCAGAGAACACACAAACTAAGCATTGTGAAAGAATACCATAACTTCAAAAGGGTGCTATTGGAAACATTTTCATACCAATCACACTCTTGGCAGTAGACTGCTGCAGAACAGTTGCCAATCCAAGGTCGCCAATTTTTATTTCACCTCGATTTCCATTCACAAATATATTGTCACATTTCAAGTCTCTGTGAATGATAGGAGGGTTCTGACTATGAAGATAGGCTAAACCTTGAAGAATTTGCCTAGCCCAATTCTTGATAGCTTTCATATCAATAGTTTTGTGCTTCTTGCGATATCTAATAGCCAAAATAGTTGCAGTGATTATATAAGAACAGAAAGTCCTTTTTTTTTTTTTTGTATGAATAGGAAGTTCATATGGATACTAGAGAAAACCAAGAAAAACATACTGTCTCAGGCTCCCAGATGTAAAGAGCTCGGTAATCATGTTAATTGTCTTCTTCTTGTCATCAATCCATGAATCACAGAACTTTATAACGTTTTCATGTTTCAACTGTCTAAGAAGATGAACCTCAGAATATAGCTTTTCCAAATCTTCTGGTGACTGTAACATGTCAGCAATTTTTACTCGACTCCATGCAACTTCAATTCCATCAATTTGGTCAAATGCCTTATAGCTATTAAAATGCGAAACAAAACAAGAATCAAATAAGTCTATGGAATCCACAGAACGGGGAAGAGAAAGAGGGGGGAAAGTGCATACACAGTCTTGAAAGCTCCCTTGCCCAATACTTGGTTATACTGAAAGAGAAAACAGAATGATGTGAATGACTGAAGAATAAACATAGCACACTATTGTTTTTGGATACTCCCGAGACTACTGACGAAAAGAAAACAGGCTCTTAGTTATGCCACTATTCTTCTTTAACAAGAAGAGAATTCAACCTTGGAACTCTGGCAGACATAACAAAATCTGAAATAAAGAAAAATGAATGAAACCACATTATTACCCGAAGGTATCGACCTCTGGGATCTTTCTCCACGTAGTCAACCTCCTCAAGGTCAGACTGCTCATTAGAACTTGCAAACAACCGATATTTTCCGTTGGCAGAAAAACCCAGGAAGCTCCCATTTCCAATACCAATCCCGGGCCCATTTCCGGAATGAAACGATACCGATCGAGTACCGGAACTAGTCATCCCGGCGACCGACCAAACAGCAGTAGACGAAGAAAACGAAAAAGGAAAAACAGCAAGGAACACAACAGCCCAAAGAAAGGCGAGGAGGAAGAGAGAGCTAAAACGCAATCTAATCAGAGGCGGCTGGAGAAGACATCTCCGAAAAGGGGCCCGCGAGTCTGCTGCACTTGGAAGAATGCCTCTGAATACTCGAGTGCCGATCGCCTCTCGCCGAACAATACTCGTCGGGATCGACATTCGATGTCAAGTCCGGATGCGGAAAAACTGGCATTGAGATCTAATGCACTCTTCGACAACGGGAAAGATACATCTGCTCTACATGCCGGCCACGAAGTAGACGAGGACGACAATCGAATGCGTGCATTATTAACCTTAACACCACTTTCCATTATAATACCGCGAATTTCTTAAAATCTTCTTCATTCAACTCATACTTTTCAGCTTCTATTGTCTAAAAAATCCACGCCCTTTACGCTCTTCACCCCCTCTCTCAAATCAAACCTATACCATTATTATAAAAGAAAAAGTTGGTGGAATGCCGGCGATGGGATGTTGTAGAGGGAAGAAGACGCGATGAAGGGAAAAATTAATTAAATAATTATAAACTCTCCTTTCAGTAATTTTATAAAACACAAAAAGGAAAGGGAATCAATTTATTGGATTATTCTTCTTTTGTAAAATAAAATAATATATATATATATAGTATAGTATAATAACTAATAAAAGAGAAAAAAAGAATTAAATGGGGAGGGGACTGATTTATACTCAGCATTTTGAAATTGAAAAAAAAGGAAATCATCCGCAAGACAAGGCCTGAACAAACACCTGTTCCGTTCCACACTAATTAGTCGTTAATATATACTTTAAAAACAAAATTTTCAAAATAATTATTCTTTAAATAATTTTTAAATTAATAATTTAGTACCATAAATAGGGAATGGTTCATGTGAGAAGGGTATTCCATATAAAAAAAATTGGGAGCCATTGATCTAGATTAGATCAACGGCTCAAAATAAAAAGATTTTTTTTTTTAAAGATGCTCTTCCTGATATGCGAATGATCAAGTGTCTCAAACTAATGCACCTTAAACTTCGAACTTATGCACCTTAAGTTGAAAAATAATGCATCTTAAACTTTAAACATACGCACCTTAAATCGATGCGCCTTAAACTATAAAATAACACACTTTAATCTTTAAACTTATGCACCTTAAGCTTTAAACTTAAGCACCTTAAACTTTAAACTTAGGCACCTAAAGCTATAAACTTACGCACCTTAAACTTCGAACTTATGCACCTTAAAGCTGAAAAATGGTACACTTTAAGCTTTAAACATACGCACCTTAAGAGTTAAAATGATGCACCTTAAACTATAAAGTGACACACCTTAAGCTTTAAACATACGATGACCAAAATGGTTCCTTAAGCTATAAACTTATGCACCTTAAACTAAAAATTTATATACCTTAAGCTAAAAACTTACACACCTTAAGTTTTAAACTTGAGCGCTTTAAGATTTAAACCTAGGCACCTAAAACTATAAACTTACGCACCTTAACCTATAAACTTACACACTTTAAATTTTAAAATTACGCACTTTTGCTATAGTCAAGGGACTATTTCGGCCATCACATGCACTATTTCCTCTCTTATTAAATCAAATATTTAGTTAATGGAATGAGTCATTAACTATAGTGAAATTACAAATTTAGTCCCGAGTAAACAAACGTTTCACAGCTTAACAACAGAAGACCAAATTAATTAAGATTTTTAAAGTTGATATACTTAATTAAGTCAAAAAAATAGTCAAGGGTCAAATTGATAATTTCGTTATAGTCAAAGAACCATTTCGATAACTAACTCCATCCAATTATCCATCAAATATGTTTTTTTTTTTTTTTTTTTTTTTTTGCAAGAAATCCATCATGCCTAACGTGTAAGAGAGGCAAGGAATTACTTTTTGCGGTACAAAAACCATAATCAGAAACAGGTGTGAATAATGAACTTTTTTCTTGGTGCCAAATAGAATAATCAGAACTTTAATTCCACTTTGATCTATATCGCCACCACCCGGCACCCACTTCATTTTTATAAAAAATGATAAATGTAGTACCATGAAATATAATTTTGATTATGTGTAGAAATATTATTAAAAAGAATAAATGAGTAAAAACGATGGCTCATTATTTTTAAAATCAAATAAATTATGATACAACTTCATCAATAAAAAAAATAAATAGAAATTGAGAGTAGATATAATGAATAGTTCTACGTGTATTTTCATTTTATATTTTATATTTTATATAATGAAGCATGTTTTGATTGCTTAATATAAAAAGTTATGTCGATTGTTTTTTTTTTTTCTTCTAATAAAATTTGAATATAAGTGAGAACTATTCTTTTTATTTTTTCTAATAAAATTTGAATTAAAGTGAGTAAAAGTTAAGAGTATGTGTTTAAAATACGAGTAGTATTTTTGGATGTAATATAACCCCATTTTTCTGTATCCAAAGAAGTCCGTTCCACATTATATTGGAGTCAAAAAGGACAAAGAAAACGGCAGGAGTTGTTCAAGAAAATCATCAGCAAATGTCACTCTCACCATCGTCGTCGTCATCGCTGCTGCTAATATACTATCCATCCCATAGGTAACGGTTGTTGAGCAGAAAAATAACGGTGGTTCGGTGAACCATGTCTATTTCTTTGTTCTAGTTTTGGTTCTGGTGGCAAAGATGGTTACTTTATTCTGAGTAGACTTCAACCTCAAAAGTCAAGTGCAGAGCATTAATAGCAGGAAATGGGGTTGCTGACAAACAGGGTCGAGAGAAGTGAGATCAAACCCGGGGATCATATATACACTTATAGGGCCCTTTTTGCTTACTCCCACCACGGTAATTCACAATGCTTTCCCAAAATGCTCGTATCTGCATCTATACTGCTTTCCACTCTCATATTTTCCTCTCTTAACCAGTAATGATGAAATTTGGTAAGCTGTAAAAAAATCTGAAATTGGGCTACCATTTATGTGGTTCTCTCTGTCACCCCCCTTCTGCTTTCTGTATACTCGGATGCATTTTGCATTTCTGCCATAGGTGTGTAAAATTCCAGTCTTTTGACTTCCCCAATTTTGTTTAAATAACATTTTTGCTCTAATCTTGTTCTTATTCTATGCGATGATTTTAGTTTTTTTTTTTTTTTTTTTTTTTTTTTTTTTTTTTCAATTGATTTGGGACTAATTGCTCGAGGAAAATTCATTTACTTAGATCGTTAAGATTATAGATTATATTTTGTATTCATGATTTGGGATAATAATATTTGAGTAACTTGTAGTTTCGTAAACCTCAAATCCACAATCATAATCCATTAGCATAAGCTTTACCCAACGTCTATGATTTACAATCTTAGTATTGCTTATCTTGCGTGTTTGGGATAATTGACTTAAAGTAGTTTTTAAATTACTTTGCTTCCAACATTATACATTTTGATTCTTTGACATTAGTATGCTACTAGCTTAAGAAATAATTGGTCCTCCCTCCCTTTGAATGGTGAGATCTCACAAAATCTTCAAGTGGCTATTGTAGTGTGGTGTTTTACAAAGTAGTAGTTTACCTTGGCATAGCAATTATCCTCTGCTGGTCTTGGTTATTCTCCTTGGCATCATAATGAGGATTAGCACATTGCTACCATGTCAGATAATTAATTAGCCATTGGGCCATTTGATAGTGCTAGTAATGTGGGCAGACTAGGAAAAAACTAGGACAAGGAGAACCATCAAAATCGAATGACTGCAGATATTACTTTTTATAGAATACAAGGTCTTAAGTCATTTTTCGATGGCTGGTTACCAGATCATTTTAGAGCCTGGCCCTTCATTGACACACCTGAAATTCTCCATGGAGAAATTTTATCTGATACCAAGCTTTCTGCTTCAGGTAGTGACCTGGATCCATAATCATTTAGCTTCTCTCTCTCTAAGGCTTAAGGCTTTTGTCTTAGAGAGAGAAGCTCCTTAAGTTCTTTTATACATGTTTCTGCGACTCTGTGTTTCATATGTGTCAGTTTCATCTCCTTTACCATTACCTGATGCAATTAGAAGTTAAAAGGATTTTGCCGTATCATTATATGCATTGGTAAGGCCTGCTGTTTATCAAACCTGCTAACAGTGAGACTGATCAACTGTACTCCTAAGAGTTCACTCCCTCCCTTATGTTGATTGAATTAAGTACATCTTGCCCTCTTCTCATTTATTTTCTGCACAAAGTTGCCTCCTATTCTTCTGCTTTCAAATAGATAAGTAATAAATTTCCAGGTTTCAGATGTATTAGCCATTCTTGTGCTCATCTTTACCTGAATTTCTTAAAGCTAAAAATCAAAAGCATTATCATATGTCTGATACACAGGCATTTATGTTGGTGGAAGCAAAGTTGTTCATTTTACCCGCATTGAGAATTCTTCTGATACTGCTGATGATGAAGAAGTGTTGAATCTTTCTTCATCCATATCCTGCCCAACCTTTCCGGATTGTGGATTTAGGCAACCCAGTAGTGGAGTAGTACTTTCTTGTCTGGACTGCTTCCTCAAGAATGGCTCTCTCTACTGCTTTGAGTATGGAGTGACACCTTCAGTTTTTCTTGCCAAAGTTCGAGGGGGCACTTGCACCACTGCAGCATCAGACTCCCCTGAGACAGTCATACACCGAGCAATGCATCTTCTCCAAAATGGATTTGGGAATTATGATGTATTCCAGAACAACTGTGAAGACTTTGCCTTGTACTGCAAAACAGGCCTTCTTACACTAGATAGGTTGGGAGCTGGAAGGAGTGGGCAGGCATCTTCAGTGATTGGTGCCCCTTTAGCAGCACTTATCTCTTCTCCTCTCAAGTTACTAATTCCCAGTCCTGTTGGTGTGGCCACAGTAACAGCGGGGATGTACTGCATGAGCCGTTATGCTACCGATATTGGCGTTCGTACAGATGTTATCAAGGTAGCAGTTGAGGACCTGGCTATGAACCTTGGCTTGGGAAGCAGTAATGAGGGAGCGGTGGTGGTAGCTCAGCCTCAGGCATCTAACCGGCAAGTTGCTGGGTGATATCGCAATAATCAGTGATCGAGTTGTTCAACAAATAATATCTCTGGTTTGCCATTGTCCTATCATTCTCTTCGTTTTTAGTCTGGCCTAAACTTGTTATTTGGTTATTAGTGTATCCCAGTGACATTATAAATAGACAGAATTAAGGTGTTGGCTTTGATTTATTATCCTACTTTTGATGTCAATCTGTTGCAAATGTTTTCAAGAGAGTTGATGAATCTTGGTGAGAGTAAAAGTGAAATTACTCCATTTATTTGTATTCTAGTTGTTACATGACTTTATTATTATTATTATTATTATTATTATTATTAGGAATAAGGGTCAAATAGGCCATCGAACTGCACACGATAAAACAATTAGGCCATTGAACTTAAAAAATCAACAATTAGGTCCCTAAACTAATCAATTTCAAACAATTCTTCCAATTTGAAGGTTTCCAACAGGTCAACAGGTCATCTCCCAAATTAATTATTTTTTTAAAATATAAATTTTAAAAATTAATTATTTTTAAATTAAATTATTAAAAAAAAAAAAAAAAACTTGGAATCCAGCCGGAGACGTCTCCGGCTGGAACCAGTTTTTTTTATTTTTTATTTTTTATTTTTTATTTAATTTAAATAATTAATTTTTAAAATTTAAATTTTAAAAAATAATTAATTTGGAAGGATGACCTGTTGACCTGTTGGAAACCTTCTAATTAAAAGAATTGTTTGAAATTGATTAGTTTAGGGACTCAATTGTTGGTTTTTTAAGTTCAGTGACCTAATTGTTTTATTGTGTGCAGTTCGATGGCCTATTTGACCCTTATTCCTTATTATTATTATTATTATTATTATTATTATTATTATTATTATTATTATTTTCCTTATAATTTTTCATACTATTTGATCATAACTGTGACTACAAATATCTGAAGTAACAAAAGTCAAGTAATAGCCCGTTCTCCTGAGGCTGCACGCAACACATACAGCCACCAGGGAGGGAATATAACAATAACATCAGTCTATAAATTAATCTCTGTTAAAATACACCGTTAAAATTGGTAGTCTAAGATCGGAAAAAAGATGGAAATGTGAAATTTGCTTGTGTGAGATGATCTTATATCTTACGGTGTAGTCATTCAGCAAGCTAATATAACCATTTCAATAATAAGATAGAGAAAATGGTCAAATAAGTCCATAAAATTTCTATTTTCTATATATCATAATCCTCCCATGTATTATATATTTTCTATTTTTTGGACATGATTATTATTTTTACTACAACCTTCCTAAATACAAGTTAGTTTTAATAGATTTATGTGGAGTTCCGATATAAAAAATAAAAAAAAATAAAAAATAAAAGACTTACGTTAATTCTCGTTGTCGTCGATTCTTCTCTCAATTCTCTCTGTACTCGTTGTCGTCGATTCTTCTCTCAGTTTTCTCGGATGGAGCACCAGCAAATTAAGCTTTTTGTAGGAGGACTGTCACACGACACTAACGAACAAACCCTGAGGGATTACTTTAGTAAATATGGAGAGATCAAAAGCTCCGAGACCATTAGAGACAGAATCACTGGTTTGGGCAGAGGTTTTGGTTTTATCGTGTTCACAGACAACTCTATTGTTGAACATGTCTTGAGTGATACCCATGTCATCATCGAAAAAAAAAGTTATTATTATTTGTGTTTTTTTATTTAATTTTCTCACAATTTAACTCGCATAGGATTATTTTTAAATTTTTTTTTTGTCTTTAGTTTATCATTAGATTGTTGCTATATTTGAAGTGTTATCAATTCATATACACATATTTTTTGTGACGAAAAAAGGTGGAATAATCTTCCATTCCAGCACCCCACATCCTAGTCTCTGAATACCTTCGCCAACCCGGCTAAGCTTCATACAATGTATTTTAATTTTTAATGCTAGATAATAGATATAGATTGAATATTATTGAATTGTAAAAGTTGTGGTTGAGCGTCTGAGATTATATTCCTAGTATGTGATTGATTTAGTTCTTAAATTATGTGTTAGATTTATTTTGTCTTGCTTTTTGATTTCTTCCGGCGAGGGAAACCAAAGAGAACTTTTCTCTGGTTTCGACGAGAAGTTCTCTCTGATTTCTTCCGGCAAGGAAAACCAGAGAAAGCTTCTCTTTGATTTCCGGCGAAGGAAACCATATAGAAGTTATCTCTGGTTTCTTCCGTCTGTTTTTTTTTTTTTTTTTTTTTTTTAAATTTTTTTAACTTTTTAATAATTACTATTATTTGATTTCAAAAAAATAATTATTATTATAAATATTTTTTATTTTAAATAAAATATTTAATTATATAAAATATTTAATTATACAATTCTTTCTCATTTTTAGAAAATAAACCAAACAAACATAGACAGTTTTCTGTTGTGCTTCCAAACAAAAAAAAATGACTCAATTTACAAAATCATTTTTCAAACGGACCCTTAAGTCATTCTTTCCAATAAATGATTGCTATTACATGTCACTGAGCTCCAGCGCCAATCCAACATCTCCGGTGACAATCCGGCGAAATGGGTACCTCGGCAACAGCAGCTCCATGGAAGAACCTTCTTCTGAACTCTCTAAACTCTAATTCTCACCTCAAGCACTCCATCTATCTTCAACTTGTAAATATCCACACATCAATCACGCATCGCATTTGCCATTTTCTGTTATATTTTGACTTTTTCTTTTTTATTTTTCTCCTTCAGGCTACAGTTGGATCAAATGGAAGGCCCTCAAATCGTACCGTCGTCTTCAGGTCTGTGTCTCGTATAAAATTTTGAACTCTCTTGAAGAATTTATCGGCATGTAAAAAGTTTTGCTGATTTTTTGCTTTTCCTTGACTTTGTTGGGGCATTTTGTTTCAGAGGTTTTGAAGATAACAGTGATAGGATCCAAATTTATACCGATTCCAGAACTCGAAAGGTTCTTCCCTGTGATACTCTCTCCTGTTTTTCTCTGATGCTGAATTATTGGCATGTATCTTTTCCTGAACTTCTGAGATTACTTTTTTTTTTTTTGTTTTTCCTGTTTTGAAAGAAAAAAAAAACTAAAAAATATATGATCTTTCACATATAATCAATGCAGATCGAAGATATAAAGCACTGCCCATTCGCAGAGGTACTTAAAGATCAGTGCTTTTGATTGAAAACCAATTGCTTTGTTTTGTGTAATGTTTTATATTGTGGATTCTGGTTGATATTGGAGAGGAATCTATAGATAAGTGAACTACTTTTTATCTAATTGTGAACCAAACTGGTGCAATGCACTCTCATTTACTTCTCTGGGGAACTTTTTTCTTTTCTTTATAGTTTGTGTCTGACTGTTTTTTTTTTTTTTTTTTTTTTTTTTTTTTTTTTTGAAATAATCTTGCTGCTTTTAATTGTAAACAAATTGCTGAGTTGTGAGGTTTCAGATATGCTGGTATTTTACTGATTCCTGGGAGCAGTATCGAATTAATGGAAGAGTGGATGTGATTGATGCATCAAACCCTGATCCAGATAAGCTTCAGGTAATACTGGATAACTGAAATATTTGCATATGCATACTGTCCTATATGTGTTTGTGTGGGCGAATACTTCAGATGCTTTGTTTATGGAAGGTCAAAGGCCCAGACACAATTTATGTTTGTATTGGAGTACTAGTGGTTTTATTATCTGCCTCTGATACGTGGAATACTTGAATACCTTGTTCAATTTCAGTGAGCTATTCTCTACATAACTAAAATAGGCTCACTTTTGCACTAGTAATTAAATGTTATCAAGTGCTTGCCTCCACCATTGGCACATATCATTTGCAAAATCAGGTCAGGTTCTTGGACTAATTACATGGTGACACAACCTTTATGTCCACTACACAGTACACACAAGACATGTGAAGCCTGGGAGTTTGGGCAATACAAGATACTGCCCCAGGCTGTCCATATCTTAACTGTCATCTCACAATCTCCATGTACATATAGGCTAAGCCTTAGAACAGGGAGGACTAATGCCTCTCTGCTACAAAAACACATCTTAGTTGTCTGTATTGTATCCGCCGTTGAAGGCTGCAACCAGCTACTTAGTAGAAAACATAGCCCTATACTAATCATATCTCTTTATCTATCCATCAAATTCACTGTCAAGAACAAAAAGCACTAAACACATCTTGTATCATGTGTGATCCCATAGTCCCATATATCGTCAAAATAAGTGAAGCTTTGATCTCTTTACATGTGGATTTCATTAAATTCAGTCTGGCAAGGACACAGAACTAGATTGCTTTCCTTACTTGGTTATACACTATGCAGCAAAGACAGACAGCTTGGTTTGCTAGTTCTCTGAAATCAAGACTTCAGTACTTGGGACCCTCTCCGGGACTTCCTTCATTGGATGATCAATCATCTCAGGAAAATTCATTGGGTCCTTCTGCTGGTCCAACTGATGCATTTTGCCTGCTAGTTTTGGATCCTGAGCAGGTTCAGATTGTTACATTATCAACTTAACTACTTAAGTGAATATGATAATTGCATTGCCTCTCTAATGTCATGTGTGTGCACAGGTTGATTTTTTGAATTTAAAGAGTAACAGAAGGATAGCATTTGCATCTAGATGCAGCATCAATGGAGAGAAGCTTTGGACATCAGTTGAGATCAACCCATAATCACTTATTTGAGATTGAAATCTCACCAATTTGAAGCATAAACTGCAGAACTGGTACAATTTAGTCAACCTCATTATATTGCACCATCAATAAGTAGCATTAGTGTATTACTAGAAACTTAGGCCATTGTACCGCCACACCCCCAACCCACCTACCCCCCCACCCCCACCCTCCCCCCCCAAAAAAAAAAAAACCAAAAAAAAACTAAAAGTGATTAATGCACTGTTTAAGTAAATGTTTATTATATGAGTTTGTGAGTGAGTTGTTTATTTTAATACTCCGGATAATCTTAAAGACATAGTTTATAAAAATAAACTCAAAACAATTAATTATAAGGCATAACAACCAACTTATGTGCTTAAAGCGGTAGGTAAACATAATAGTTATACACTTATACATTATTTCAAATTGAGCTTGATTTGATACTTGTCTTTTTTATCTCTTGGTCTTGTTTGACATTCAGCAGTTAGCGGATAGCGGATTGTATTAGCGGGTTTGACTAGCGGATTGTATAAGCGATTTGTAAAGAGATACTTAGTAAAATTAGTTGTTTAATTTAGATGACTATAAAAGTATACATATATTTCATAATAATAATAATAATAATAATAATAAATATTATTACAATGTAGCATCTGTTCATAACTACTTGGCTCGAACTCATAACCTTCCATATGAGAGTCTAACCCGAGAGCCATTTGAGCACAAAGTGCTTGGCAAAGGAACCTCCTTTAGGAACCAAGTCAAACAACTAATAGTGGTCAAATAAGCTAAAATTAGCTTATATGCTAACTATTTTACCAAACAGGGCCATTGAGTTTTTTTTTTTTTTTTTTTTTTTTTTTTTTTTTTTTTTCACTTTTGGTCCCACGAGTATTGTGATATTAATAATTTTGATCCACAACTTTCAAAACTTGTATAATTGGTCCACGAGTATCAATTTCTTAGCGCAAATGGTCATTCTGGTGAAATCTCCATCAATTTTTCATCAAAAATTTATTTTTCATTTATAGTAGGGGTATAATGGTCTTTTCATTTTCACCAATTTTTAGTTGTTCGCACTTTTGGTTTACGAGTATTGTGACATTAACAATTTTGATCCACAACTTTTAAAACTTGCATAATTTGTCTACGAGTATCAATTTCTTAGCGCAAATAGTCCTCCCGGTGAAATCTCCGTCACTTTTTCACATAAAATTTATTTTTCCTTTGTTGTAGCGGTCAATTTTTTTTTTTTTTAAAAAGACCAAAACTTAATGCATTAAATCATCAGCAAGATAATCAACAAGATACGAAGGGGGAATGCCAAATTACTCCCCGCAACCTGACTCAGAAACGTCCTCGTTAGAAAATTTATTTTTAAAAGTTGTAAATCAACATTGTTAGTACCGCAATACTCGTGGGATCAAAAGTGTGAAATTAAAAATTGATGAAAACGAAAAGACCATTATAACCCTTGCTATAAACAAAAAGTAATTTCTTTGGCGGAAATTTGATGGAGATTTCACCGGATGGACCATTTGTGCTAAGAAATTGATACTCATAACTAATTATACAAGTTTTGAAAGTTATGGATCAAAATTGTTAATACTACAATACTCATAAATTAAAAGTGTAAAAAACTCCATATACTTTATATATTAAAAATAGACTTATCAGTCAAAATTACATGTCAAATACAAAAGATAATTATCACCAATTGACCATAAGATATGCTTTTAGAAGTCATTTAAAAAAAAAAACTAATTTATTAATCAGTGACTGAAACGTTTACAAGATCATCATACATTTCTTACAGTTAAACACACGCTTTTAAAACTTATAAGAAGTGAAATAGATAAACAGAAAAATGAATGATGAAATCGTCTTTCCCTGCAATAATAAGACACTCTTTGGGTACAATATATGACATTATGACCCAAAACTCGAAGGACGGAAGTGTAATTAACGGAAAACTATTGAGACCGAAGTGTGATTTCATCAAATGTTTTGCATTAAGGCTGCAAAACTGGAGTTCAGTTAATTGTTTCTCCCTGACGCAGAACGATGAAGGACGGAAACGGCACGAGTCCGTCAGCAAATCCGATCAATATCGCCGGTCATTTACCGCTTAGTCTGGCCAAATCCGAGATCGTTCCTCCTGCTCCAAACCGATCCAAATCAGGCTCTGAATTCGAACCAGCAATCGACTGGTTACCGGATTTTGCCGGCTACTCATGGATTGCTTACGGTGCTTCGTCTCTTCTCATCATCACTCATTTCCCCAACCCTCTGTCAGAGAGAGAAACTGCAATTGGCGCCATTTTACGCCAAGTCTTCGAGCTCTCAGCGGACGGCACTGGCACTGTTTCCGCCGTCGCCTGGTCGCCAGTTACGCCTTCCACTGGCGACCTTGCTGCCGCTTTGGATAATTGTATTGGGTTGTTTTCGTTCCGTCCAGATACTTCTTATAGTAAGTTTTAGATAAATATTACTATACTGTTCCCTTCACTGGATTTGCTTGCACATTTACGTTTTGTGAGTTGACAGTGAATGAATAGGATTAATATTAATATGTCCATAATAGCACATAGAAGTTGCTCAACTTATTAGTTAGGCTGCTAATATCACGTAGGACTTGGTTACACTCTTTTTCATTTGATTTATGTTTACCTTGCTGAACTAGATGAGGTGCCAACATATGTATACACAGTGCGAACTTTTATATCATAGTCGAAGTAGTTTTACACATCATGGCCTGCTGCCTGCGTCTCTTTCTTTTAGATGCTTAGTACTTCGTACAGTGTAAACCATTTTATTCTTTAATTCTTGCACTTTATGAAATACTAAAATTCCTTTAGAACTTCAAGTGTCTCTCTTTATAATACCTATAAGAATCATTGCTGATGCTGAACTGCATCATAAGTTTGTACAGTTTTCTCTCCCTCCCTTCCCTCTTGAATTAAAAACTTATTCACTCATATCCAGGTTCTTTTTGTTGGAGCCAGACTACAGTGCTGGTACAATCTACAAAGGTGGATGCACTCAAATGGACAGGATCTGGAGATGGCATAGTCTCAGTTGGCATGGAGGTTGTCTTATGGAGAAAAAAGGAGAGGTCCTGGGAAATTGCTTGGAAGTTTAAACCAGAATTGCCTCAAATGTTAGTTTCAGCCACCTGGTCAATTGAAGGACCTTTGGCAACAGCACCTCTGCATAGATTGCAAGTTGATGATTTGAGTTCTCCTATCTGCAAGACTAAAAAATGTGTATTAGTTTGTCAAGGAGATAGAGATTCACGACTTGAACATGCTATGCTACCTCATCCTCAGCCTGTTTCTATGATCCAATGGAGGCCATCTGCATTACGAGAGCCAAGTAAAGAGGACAGAAGTTTCAAGAGGTCACTGTTGTTAACTTGTTGTCTGGATGGTGCTGTAAGATTGTGGAGTGAGATTGATGATGGAAGGGTCAAAAAAGTCTTCAAAGAAAATGATCGCAAGGTTACTAGATTATCTTTTCGGGTGGTTGCTGTGGTTGAGGTAAATCAGTCATTGAGTGGAAAACTGGGCGTTGATATATTTGTAAGATGGGCAACAGATATTGATGGTGTAATTAAGATTAGAGAAGAAACTAACTATTATTCTTCTCTTGAGGAGTACCAGCATGACAAGGTTGGTAAGTGTGAATGGTTAATTGCTCATGGTCCTCAAATAACATTGACTCTTTGGACTGTCCACTGTCTTGATGATTTTGCTCCAGTGAGATTTCCAAGGATTACTTTATGGAATAGTAAAGAACTCAACTATCCTAAAGTGGATTCAAAAAGATTGCCACTTAATGATGTTTTTATCACAAGGAATCAGGTCTTTGGACCACCAATAATTTGTTCTTGGATTGAGTTATTACCTTGCAACTCTCTAGCCTGGTTACATTTATATTCTTCAAGATCAACTGTTAGGGAAGAAGGATCTTCAAAATCAAGTACTGAAGAACAGGGGTCTTCAATTAAATGCCAGAATGATAGGTTCTTATCATGTTATTCTAGAGGAATTTTGAATGTTGACAATCACAGTGATAAAATTTTACAAGTTGCAGTTCATCCATATTCTGAAGTTGAACTTGCAGCCTCTCTCAATGCAAATGGAATGCTTCAATTTTGGTCATTTTCTGCTACTTCGGATAGTGTCATGCCAATTTTAAATCCCTCTTGGAAATTTTATGGAAAACATTATTCCCACTCGAGGTACTCTTGCTTGAGGTGGGGGCCTGCAATTTCAAATGAAGAATGGGTTCTTTTTGTAGGACATGCTAAAGGTGTAGATTTCTTTATTGTCACAACTTCAAAAAATGAAGAAAAGAAATTATTATGTCACAATGTATGCACTGTCCCCTTTCACAATGAAGGCCATGAAGAGGGGCCAAACAGTGTCTGTTCAATATCTTTGCCTTCTACTTACAATGAAACCTCTGTTTATAATAATTTCTTACTATTATCTGTGTGGAAGTGTGCCTTCCAGGCTTTTTCATGGAAAATTAGCATCCACCAGTATGATTCATCCAGTGTCTCTTGTGACTGCAGTCTTGAGAAGCCAAATAATATTGAAAGTAGTTTGTGCAAATTCAAAGGTAGTTTTTGCAGCAAAACATATTGTGTCTCTGTTGAACCTTATTCATCACAATTCCCTTCTCCATACAACCATGACCTAGCATCTAGCTTCCAAGTAGTTTGTCCAACTAATTCTGTTTTGAGCGAGCTGCAGGGTTCTGCTTATGAGAAGTCCAGTAACCATTTCACTTATCACATGGCCACTGGTTACAGTGATGGTAGTTTGAAATTATGGAGAAGCATGCCAGCTACCATTTTGAATTCACAGTGGGATCTTGTTGGTATGCTTTATACACATCATGGTCCTGTTCTTGGAATATCTTCAAGTTCTTGTGGTCGGAAGATTGCAACAATCTCCAAAGCAGATGAGGCAACTACTTCTCGTAATCTTCAAATATGGGAATGTGTGCACCTTATGGATGAAGGTAGCTTCATTCTAGAAGACACTTTGTCTTTTGATGCAGAAGTAGTTGCATTAAATTGGTTGACAATGGGAAATGGTCAGTTGTTATTGGGGGTTTGTACGAGCAATAAGTTGCAGGTGTATGCTCAAAGACGCAGCGGAGGCCATTATATTTTGAAGCCAGAAAAATCTTTAGAGGGAAGCATCTGGGTTTGTGTTGCTGAATCTCATACTAAAGCCATCATTCGTGACTTCTTTTGGGGGTCCAAAGCCACAATAGTGGTTGCTCATGATGAGTATTTATCTCTCTATAGTAGGTTGTTATTTTTGGAGGATAGCAAAACCCTGTCCAAGTTTTGCGGAAAAATCTATGGGGATGCTTACCCTTGCTGTAATGATTCAGATAAAATTTTGCTAGGTTCAGCAATTGAGGATTTTGATAATTTTGGACAATGCCCTTCTACTTCCCCCATGAAGATGAACATGATACATGAAATTATCCCTGTCATGAATGTCAAAAGATCTGAAAAGGAGTGTAACTCATTCATAAATATTGGCATTTGGAGCATACTAGAGTTAACAGAAATGTTGGGAGGATCAATCCCTGTCATTCACCCGGAGGCACTTCTGACAAACTTACTTTCAGGTATTTTAAAATTGGTCTATTTTCTTTTTCCTGTTTCATTTTGTCCATCCATCTTCCTTACCATACAGGTGATATTGCATTCGATTTTGAACATGCTATTCACAATGCTTTTAGGTAATTGGAAGCGCCCTTATGTAGGTCTGAAGTGTCTTACTGAACACTTCAGTTCTAACACATCTGCAAAGATATTTTGCTCTCAAAATTTCAATTGTTTCACATTACCTGTTCCATTGTCAAACTATCTTGAAGGACGTGTGTTGCAAAGTTCTGCTGATAAGTCATTTCAATGGAATGGGGATATTGCATCTACAGAGGCCCTGAAAGGATCATATCAATATGCCTCTAATTTGGGTCATGGTGCATTATATACTGCCCCAACAAGATCTGAAATTTCTGGCTTTATTGAAGCCTTTGATAAACTATCGAAGTGTTCAATCATGTCTGACACTGAAATGATGCATAGTCGTGCCGCTATAAATCTTCTGCAAGAAGTTAGCAATTCACAGTCTGCTTCTGCTTATGGAAGTCTTGATGAATCAGGTCGAAGGTATTAAGTTCAGTTCTTTTTCTGCTACAGAGTCCATTAAGCTTACATTGTTCAATCATGAATTTCCTTTTTACTAGTTTGTTTGTCATAATAATACCTGTGTTTGCATTTTTGCTTTACAGTGAACACATCTCTTTCCAATTAATTTTGGCCCTTCATTTTTGTGGTACACCTTGTATTGATCCTAGTTATGATAACTTGTCCAATTAATTTGATGCAGTTTCCTTTATTTATTTTACTCAGGTTTTGGGTTGCAGTGAGGTTTCAGCAGCTATATTTTGTTGAAAGATTTCATAGGGTGCCATTGGTAGGAGAGCTGGATATTCAGTCAGCATTGGTTGGTTGGGCTTTTCACTCTGATTGCCAGGAGACTTTATTTGATTCTCTCTTATCTAATGAACCTTCTTGGCAAGAGATGCATGATATAGGAATTGGGTTTTGGTATACAAATGTCTCACAACTAAGATCAAAGGTATTCATTGAATCTAATTAAAAATTCTATTATTTTATTTCCTGGTGAAATTTTTAGTATGCTACAGTTTAGTTATTTCTATGTAGAAGCTAGACACCTGTTATACTCTGACATAACTATGCAAGTCTTTGCATCATCTGGACCTAGGGGCTAGGGCTGTTATTACTTCCTGTCTCTTTGTGTGTTGTTACTTGTTTGAAAAGAAAGTTAAATACTACATCTGCAATTTTGGTTTCATGTGCTTTGTTGGGTTAAAGCATTCAGGAGGTCCTTGTATTATACCATTTTTTTCAGTTTAGTCATTTTACTTAAATTTTGATCAATTTAGTCTCTATATTTTAATATTTGAATTAAAAATAAAAGCCAACACTGTTAGTCCAACCGTCAATTTGTTGATGTGGCAATAACATTGGCATTGCCATGACGGAACATGCTAATGTGACAATTGCCTCATCAGCTTTTATATATTTTAATTTTAAAATATTGTTTTTTATTAAGACTTTATTTAATTTTATTAAAAATAAAATAAAATTGCGAGAAGCTGGAAACTCAGTATTTCTGTAAGAGATGAAATAAAAGAACCAGTCAGAGATGGTGCCATGAAACTCAAAAGCTCTTTCGGTGCCAACTTATTCACCAGCTGTTGGTAGTGGCTATGTGGAACCAGGGGCTAACACTGAGTCGGCTTTGAGCAACAGAGTTTTGAGTTAACCATGTGAGGCTTTTTGGATTGTTCACTGACCCAGATCCAGCCCATCACATGTTGATTGATCAGCATTGAGCCTGATTCTTGGTGTTGCACCCCAGAAAATGTATTTATCTATACTCTTTTCTTTTCTGGAATTTTCAATATTTCTTCTGTTTTATTTTTAGAAGTCTTTGGGTAATTGGAGATAATGGATTAAGCATTTAAGTGGTTCTTCATTTATATTTGTTTTGCAGTGAGTACAAGAGATCTATAATGGGAGATTGGGAGAGGTTGCAGCTCAGAATGGGTGCAAGTGCAGGGACAACTACCAATTGCAAGTGAGGTGCAAAACCCAGTTGCAACAGTGCAGAAATGATGTCTTGCTTTTCATTGAAAAATATAACAATAGTAATCTTAAAATTAGTTCTAGTACTAGGCATCTCACTATTTATTTGTTTTTACTAAAATTAAATTGTTTTATACAAAAATCAATATTTAAAAAAAAAAATTAAAATGTTGAAATTGAGGGATTGAAAGGTCTGGTGGGTTGTAAATAACCACCACCCGCAAGTTAGGTGGAAGCAAAATATGTGAGAAACCGAAAATAAGAGTATAGAAAGAATATATTATAATAAAAGATTCCAATATATTATATCTCTGTGTTTCTGTATGCTGAACTATACAAATATCCTATATTTATAGGAACATTTGGCTATGCCCAGTCCAACCAAGATTAGGAAACCAAGTGTACTACTAGGAATAGGACTACGGATTCCTATTACTCAAAATATAAAAACCTGACAAGGCAATTAACATGTTAGTATACTTTGACGTGGCAATGTTGACGGTACTGCCATATAGCTAAATTAATGGTTTAAATTAACAATGTTAACTTTTGTTCTCAATTTTATCAAATGTTAAAGTACAGGGGCATATTCAAGTAGATGAACTAAATTGAAAAAAATGGTATAGTACAAGAACCTTTTAGGTACTTTGACTGCTTTGTTGTCCTCTTGTCTCATTCTTCTTTGTTTCTCATCATGTTATCTTTGCAAGATCAGCATTAGAGTATTTAAGCAATTAAGCATGATATCGTGTCCTCATCTTTCGTTCTTTTTTAAGATATGAGCTCTTAGATGTGGATCGCCATATTTGAATATGTATTTTCCATATATGAAGTCCAGTAGCTGATTAGCAGTGTACCTTTTAGGCACTTGAGAAGATACAAGTTCATCTTTGACATGGTTCTTTAAATGGTAGGATGCTAACACATTTTTTGCAAGACAATAATTTTTAGCTTATCTTTTAAAATGTTTTTCTGCTAAACAAAATTCTGTTTCCTTTAGATATACAATGAGATGAAAGAAGGCAGAGGATAATGTTTGTTGGTATTATCAGATTCTGTTTACACAATTTTTTTTTTTCTTTTTTCCTTTTTTCCTTTTGTAGATGGAGAAGCTGGCAAGACAGCAATATTTGAAAAATAGAGATCCCAGGGCATGTGCACTTCTTTACATTGCCTTGAATAGAATTCAAGTTTTAACAGGTCTTTTCAAAATTAGCAAAGATGAAAAGGACAGGCCGTTGGTGGGCTTTCTTTCCCGCAATTTTCAGGTACTGTGTAGACTCCTTTTGTTAATTTGTTTATAGCGATTCTAAACAAACATAATTCCCCCAAACAGTTTAGTAACTTATAACGCTTTCATTTGAGCTCTTATAAATTTATCTTATAGATAAATTTTCTGAATTTTAGATTTTTTATCCTCTAAACTTTGTATGTTTTCGAGTTTCAGTTTATATAGTTTTTGGTTGTGCGTTTGTTGCATGTCTTCTGAAATTTATGCGGTATCAGTAATTTCAGTCTAGCTTTGCAAAACCAAACTTTGGGATAACCCGAGCAAGTACATTTATCTTGCCTTATCAATCGTCTTCCATTTGTACCCCTCTCTTCTCTCTCTCTCTCTCTCTCTCTCTCTCTCTTGATTAATATATGTATCTTGACTATTTATGAGTTCAAGATGACTTTATACTATAAGCAGTCTAATGAATGAGATACTTTCTTATTGTATGCGGTGCTGTTTGGATAACTGAGCCTTGTTATGCATAATGCGATTTACTTTGTTCCAATAAATAATCTTAATAACCTGATTTTTCAGGAGGATAAAAATAAGGCAGCAGCTCTGAAAAATGCATATGTTTTGTTGGGCAAACATGAACTGGAACTTGCAGTTGCATTCTTTTTGCTTGGAGGTGATACGACCTCTGCTGTCACTGTGTGTGTGAAGAACCTCAGGGATGAACAGCTTGCACTTGTAATCTGTCGTCTTGTTGAAGGGTATGGTGGACCATTAGAGCGTTATATTGTAACAAAATTCCTTCTTCCATCCGCAGTTGCAAAAGGTGATTACTGGCTTGCCAGTTTCCTGGAGGTAATTGATCTATGAATTAGTTTTGTTTCAAAGTTTTTTTTTTTTTTTTTTTTTTTTCCTCTTGTCCCTTTGCCGAATGATGAATGCATGTACAAACTCTTTTTCATTTGCAGTGGGTATTAGGAAATTATTCACAATCTTACCAGAGAATGCTTGCCATCCAGACGGAGCCTTTTCTCAATAAGTATGTCCTCTCCTCACACCAAGATGCTTTTTTAGATCCAAGCATTGGACAGTACTGCCTAATGTTAGCAATGAAGACTAGTATGAGAAATGCTGTTGGTGAGAAAAATGCTGCAGTCTTGGGTAGATGGGCAATTTTGATGTGTGCTACTGCCTTAAGTAGATGTGGTCTACCTGTAAGTTCACATTTCCTACAGTTTTGCCCAATACTTGCAATTTTGAAATGGGCATTTTGCCTAGCATTTGAGTTTATGCTTTTGGGTTTCTATTGGAATGGGTGAATATTTCCAACTTTCTAGATTACTTGACCTTCCTCTCTGAGGCTATGAACTATGGATCTGTGTTTATTTTTTTCTGAAATTGGGACTGAAGAATGCCTTATGCCCATACTGCTGAATAATACCAAATATTTTGTATAGTAGTCTGTTTGTGGATTTATTTTCTTTTTCTTTATTTATTTTTTCTCTAAAGCTTATACTTTCAAGATATCAATGGGGTTCTTGTTGAGAATTATTTAATGGCTTCTGTACTTTTTCCATTATAAGCTTGAAGCATTGGAGTGCCTTTCTTCTTCAGTCAGCATCTTTGGTAATTCAACTCAAGGAAGTATACCGCACAATGCAGACTCTGAACTTTTTAATGCTACTATCTTGGGAGTGTTAGTAAATAAGAGTTCATCAAACTGGATATCAGGTGGTGTGGCTTTTGATGTAGCTTCACATTCAAGACTAGATTTGGCTATGCAGTACATATCCAAGTTGTTGAGAAAACATCCATGCTGGGTGGACATCAATATCATGCATCTTCAGGCACATACATACTCCGAGTCTGAGTATCAAGGCTGCAAGAGATTACTTGATATTTTCCAACATGAATTAAAGGAAACAGTTTCGTGCTTTCAGCAGAAGTATTCTATGCTTCCTATTGATCTTATGAACATGGTATATAACTATATACTTATTTTTGCCACTGACGTTGTGCTTGATCACTGTGTTTTTGGAACTGATTTGTTTTCATCTTGCAACTTTTTGTACAGATTTTTTTGTCCCTCAGCAACAATAGTTTGGAACACATTGGATATAGTCTGTTACAAGATTACACTAGCAAGTACACCTCACAAGAACAAGGAAGACTTGATACTTGCTTTCTCTGTCCTCTTCCTGAACTACTTCTGAAGGTTGCCGAAGAAGTATTGCATTCACTTTCTAGGTACATCATAGTGTGTGGTATGAGTTATTTGTATCTAGAACCATGTTCAATGATAGATGATGTGGTCAGTGAACATGGATTTGGTTTGGTTCAACCTTTGAAGCTTTACGAGTGGAGTTTCATTTGGTCATTGCGGTATGTTAGAGACATGATGGTGTTGTTTTCTGCTTCCTTTCAGCAGGACTTCAAAAGAAATCCTTTTACTATTCTTGATTTATTTGAGTTCTTCTTATACTTTTCATCATTTTGGATTCAAAGAAATTTCAGAGGTCTTACTATGGTTTTGAAGCCTCTTGTAATTGTATGTGACAAACAGCATGCTTCACATGAGATCAATATGAAGGATCTCCGGGAAACCCTTTACCAGAACTTGGAAATCTTGGCTCATGATACCCCAGTTATTGATATAGAATCTCTTCATATCAATGAGAGGCAATTGTATAAACAATTTGGAGATCTATTGCCATCAGTTCCAGAAGGAAAGGGGCCGCAAAACCTGTGTCTCTCTTTGTGGGGAACTATGTCTAATATTCTGGAATATCAGCTAAATTTGATACCACTGGAATCTAGAGACTGTTTATTTGAATCCCATAACACACTCCAAAAAGCATCATCTTCAATAATCCATGGAGGTAATATGCCCTACCAGATTGAGCTGGGTGCAGTACTCGCTAGATTACTGAAGGCCACATGTGGACACATTTCTGCTTATTGTGCAAAACAACTTGCATCATTCCTGCTGCTGAGGGTATCAAGAAGAAGTGCTCATTTGTGGCCCCAATACAGAAATCCAGCTAAGAATTTGGATCATATTATTGATAATGCGGAGGTTCTTTCTAATGAAGATGAATTATCAGCTTCAAAAATGTTTTGGAGTATCTGTTCTGAGATTTGTGAAGTTAATGGAAACTTTTTGCAAGAGAATGCAGAGTTGTTGCAGCATATTAAGCAAAAGTCCTTGAATGGGTGGTATGACGTGTATCCAGTTATTATGAGAGAGTGTGAATCTGAGGAAACTTGTGATAAAGAAGACAGGCTTGATAGTCCTAGTAGTGCTGCTGGATCTCCTCTTGCATGCCTGTCCCCTAATGATCATCCCTTTCTGAGTTTAAGTGGAAAATATGCAGATCATCCAAAAAAGGTTTTGCCTTTCAATAATGCTAAAGAAATTTGTAGAAGAAATGGAGAACTCATAGAGGTGACTCTTCATCCCAAACAATTCTTTCCGAAAATTGATCATAACTGTTGACACCGAAGTCTCAGTATTCTGTCTTTATATGATTATTATTTCGAGTCTCATATAATTTGCAGGCTTTGTGCATCAACTCCATTGACCAATGTCAAGTAGCTCTAGCTAGCAATCGGAAGGTGAGAGTGTTGAATTTGTTTGTGTATTGTCCTGAGCATCTTTTGAAAGCTCCAATATTTATATTTAGGTTTTCACAGTTTCACTACACCATTGGCTTCTCATGTTACTGGAAAACATTTCAACTGCAATATAACAAGCTTCTTGTTTTAATCTTTGAAAATTAAGTATTCAAAACATTTTTTTTTATGATTTAGCAAATTAAAAAAAAAAAGAGGAAAATTTTAAAATAAAAATTATATATATATATATAGAATTAGGTTCTGGTGCGGTTGGCAATCCAAGGTGCGGTTGTGGGGTTAAATCTGAGCCATTGATCTTGCTTAAATCAAGGTCCAGGATTACCAAATTTTTTTTTAAAAAAAACGCGGTGGCAATTTGGTAATTTTTGCATCTAAGTCAAATTTAAGGTGCGTGAGATTTGTGCTTAAGGTGTGTGGGTTTTGTGCTTAATGTGCGTGAGTTTGTGCTTAAGGTGCATGGGATTTGTGCTTAATGTGAGTAGTTGTTAAAACTTAAAGTGCGTGGGTTTTGTGCTTAAGGTGCGTGAGATTTGTGCTTAAGGTGCATGGGTTTTGTGCTTAATGTGAGTAGTTGGTAAAACTTAAAGTGTGTGAGTTTGTGCTTAAGGTGCGTGGATTTTGTGCTTAATGTGCGTGAGTTTGTGTTTAATGTGAGCCATTTTAAAATCTTAGGTGTGTGGGTTTTGTGCTTTGTTCTGTGCTTAAGGTGCGTGGTTTATGTACTTAAGGTTAGTGATTTGTATTCTTAAGGTGCTTTGTTTGTGTGCTTAAGGTGCGTGGTGATTTGTGTACTTAAGGTGCGTCCAACTGCACAACCGCACTGGAAATCATTCCCGTACCTGAACCCTTATATATATATATATATATATATATATATATATATATATTATTTAACTCTGGTAGTTTTGGGTTACCATTGATACTCTCTTTAATACAGGGCATTCTATTCTTTAATTGGGAGGATGGACTGCCTTATGAAGAAAAATCTGATTATGTCTGGGCAGACGCTGACTGGCCGTGTAATGGCTGGGCTGGATCTGAAGCTACACCGATTCCCACATGTGTTTCTCCTGAAGTTAGGCTGGGTAAGAAAGGGACAGTCCTGGGGCTTGGTGGAGCAACAATAGATGTAGGTTTGTTGACAAGACCTGGGAAAGATTTTACAGGCAGTGGAACATTTGGAGTTCCAGGCTATGCTGGTATTAGTTCTGGCCTTGGTTGGGGAATTCAAGAAGATTTTGATGAGTGTGTTGACCCTCCTGCCACAGTGGAGAATGTTAGAACAAGGGCATTATCAACTCACCCTTCAAGACCATTGTTCTTGGTTGGTTCTAGCAATACGCATGTATATTTATGGGAGGTGAGTAGTCTTGTCTGCCCTACATTTTTTTTTTTTGTAGCATAAAATTTATTTTAAATAACCTTTACTTCTATTGTTCTTTACATCTAAAATTTATTTCCAGCTGGAGTTTACTGTTGGTATTTTTTTCTTATACAAAATGGGACTAAAGAGAATTAATGATATCAACAGTTTGGCATGGACAGAGCTACTGCTACGTATGGAGTGCTTCCTGCTACAAATGTCCCTCCACCTTATGCCATTGCCTCTATATCTTCTGTGCAGTTTGACCATTGTGGTCACCGATTTGTAACTGCTGCATCAGATGGTACTGTGTCCACATGGCAACTTGAAGTTGGAGGAAGGAGTAACATTCATCCAACTGAATCCTCTATCTGCTTTAACAACTATACATCGTATGTTGCTTAAAACTATTTGAACACCGCTCTTCGTCTCATTGTGGCTTTTGTTAGTTCAATTACTTTTTCATTTTACTCTAGTTTTTCTTTATTAAACTGAATAATTTCTTGCTGTCAAGAAAATAGGTTCTAGTCTAAGTTCTTTTTTTATGCTTTCTATGTCTTTCCAGCTAGGGATGATGTTAATTTGCAAGGTTTATCTTTCCTGTTGTAACTTCTGACTTCTGACTGTAGGGATGTTACTTATGTTACTTCTAGTGGTTCTATAATAGCTGCCGCGGGATATAGCTCCAGTGGGATTAATGTCGTTGTATGGGATACACTAGCTCCTCCAGCTACATCTCAAGCCTCCATAATGTGCCATGAAGGTTTGTTTCCATTCTTTTTATCTACTTGATAAAAATGATCCATACTTTCCATCTCATCCTTGTTGCACACCCAACATCTGTTTTGAGAGCTGCAGTGTAGAACTGATGCAATCCTTTAATTGTTTTATAGTTCCTATAAATGTTAAAGTACAAGGACCGAATACTCATCAGTCATTGCCGCCACAGAAACTATTGATTTTAGAAACCTTTTACCAAACCAAGAAATCAATAATGAAATGAAATCACATTCTCTTTAAAGTAACTTTTTTGCTTGCATAGCAGGAGCCAATCTATATTCTGTATGTGCAAGGTAGTATGGGTGGCAACTTAAGTCATCATTCTGGAATAATTTTTGGTGCACAGTTTGAACTGAAATAGTTCCTTGTGGATGTTCCAGGTGGTGCACGCTCTCTGTCTATATTTGATAATGATATAGGAAGTGGCTCAATTTCGCCACTTATTGTGACTGGAGGAAGAAGTGGTGATGTTGGACTCCACGATTTCCGCTACATAGCAACAGGAAGGACAAAGAAACATAAGCATTGTGATACCAGTGAACAGAATCTCCATTCCACAGTAGACATGCAGAAGAAAACTGGTGATCAGAACCGGAATGGTATGCTATGGTATATACCAAAGGCCCACACAGGTACTTGCTACAATACTACTTGTACGATTGCTGCTGAGTATAAATTATTTTTAATAATTGTAGCTGTATGCAACTAATTACTCAACTTCCCAAATCCTTCTGAAGGGAGTGTCACCAAAATATGTACTATTCCGAACACTAGTTTTTTCTTGACGGGAAGCAAAGATGGAGATGTAAAACTTTGGGATGCAAAGTGGGCGAGACTAGTATTTCATTGGCCAAAATTGCATGAAAGACACACCTTTTTGCAACCAACCTCCCGTGGATTTGGTGGAGTTGTTCGGGTAAATATTTAATACTGGTGAAGTCAACTGAAAATTGTTAGATATGTGTATTTACAATGCTTGAACTAGGAAGCATGTTTTTTATGCATGTGTTAGAGCTAAAGGTATGGTTATTGTAATTTTGCAGGCTGGTGTTACAGATATTCAAATTGTTTCTCATGGTTTTGTTTCTTGTGGTGGAGATGGTTCTGTAAGGCTGGTTACAGTAAAAGGGACTTGAAACTTGCATGAACAAGGATTCCATCATATTAGCCAGCCAGTCTTAACATGAATTAGTGTGTCTACTTAAAGTGTTACAATAGACTCTGTGAAAGGACTCTAGCCTGTACCAAAATTCAACCTCTGCTTGCGAGCTGCAACAGTACTCACTTCTTGGAGTCACGTTGTATTCAGGCCCGTAAATATGAGCTGTCTTTGGCATTCATTCGATTATTATCTTCTCCACTTTTGTGGTAATCAATATACATATACCCTCTTCCTTCCGACAGGGTTTGCTCTGATTTAGGTTGTTGATAGTTTTGTAGTTGTTATTCTATGATGCCAAGCAAGTTATCTGATGCTTTAAGGGTACACTGAGTTGCCAATTCTTTTCATTTGTTTTTATATATTCCTCTGAATCTGTCTATGAACTGCCATACCAAGTTTACATCATAACTTTTAACTAGAGCAATTGCACTGTTATCATTGGTCCATCAACAAATTTGCAATTTGCAATTTTTTTAAGAATAAATTTCATAATTTACTAGACTTCATAAATCACGGTCCTCCAGTCTCGTGTGTAATTTAGTGGTATATTTGATATTTTTTAATATAGATATGATTGCTCTGTAATTTTTTTTTTTCACAATAGTATTATCATTTGAAATGCAATGCAACATATCACTTTAAAAACACGTGTGAAGTCCACATCAAGTCACCAAATCAACTAAAATATTTAGTAAGTAGTTAATTGAAATACTCAAAAAAAAAAAAAAAACTGCATTATATTCGATGGCTTTTTTCTGCAGTTGCCTTCATGCCTTGGTAATTAATTCCATTCAAATCCATGGATAGATAATTAAGAGCAAACTTCTTCATTGACTATTGTGGTATTTCTACTTAATTATTTTCTTTTTAGAGTAAATATCCAAAATGGTCCCTTGACTATAGCTAAATTTATAAATTGGTTCTCGATTATTGATTTCAACAAATTAAGTCCTTAAGTTTCTAATTCTAACCTAATTAAGTCCTTCATCTGTTTGATCGTTTGTTGATCGTGATCTTTGAGGATATATATGTAATTTCATATGCAAATCTCAAGAGAATGCCCTTGGAGCTGACGACGCCGTTTTGGAGGGGGAAGTGCTTCTCCGCTTGCTGTTTGGGGATCACGAGCCGGTTCATGTTGAAGGCGCGACGGCTCTGCTCGAGCTCGTCGGTGTAGTGTGCTTGCGGAGCATGTCGACAATCTTGGCCTTGGAGTGGGAGCTCAAGAACACGGGGCCTCGTAGTCGTCAGTTGTTTCCGACAAGGGCTTGAAGTTGGTGACGGTGTCGCAGCCACGGAAGCGCTGGGCGGCAATGTTGTACACCCTGGCGGCTTCCTCCTCCTCGTTGAACGTCCCCAGCCACACCCGCTGGTGCTTCTCGTTAATTTGTCTGAAGTTGATGATGCTAAAAGGCTGTCTAAAGTTGATGATCATCAGTATAGGAAGTAGGGTGTTCTGTTCTCTTAGCACTGTCAGTACCTTTGTCGATAAGTAGCGTTTTTTGTTTCCAAATTTTGAATGAAAGAATTCTGATTATCACGGCGAACACAACGAGAGGTGTGGCAAGAGATATTCCCACTACAAATGTACGGTTTGAAGGAAATGCAGGTGCACATCTGCTGCAAGATTGGAAAACTGGAGGTCATTCTTGTAATAAGCAATATAGGCTAGATTCTGTATAGCTTAGAGGCACTTCACCTGTGAATTTGTTGGCTGAGAAATTTGCAAAAGGCCATTTATATTACAAATATCACAAGGGAAAGAATCTTAGAAATCATTCATGGAAATGTCCAGATATGTCAATGCAAAAAGGGTGGGAAGGGAAGGGGGCAAAGTTCTGGTGATGGTGTTGTGTAGATCTAACGGGGAAAGAGATGTGAGATTGGAGATCGATGGGTTGAGAGGTCCGGAGAACTTGTTGTTGCTGACGTTCAGAGATAACAAGGAGCTAGAGCTCCAGTATCAATGGAGATGGAGCCTGAGAAATTGTTTGAGCTGATATCCATTCGGCTGTGGGACCACGCCTTTGAATCTCGACGACGGCAGCTTCCTGCCGAACTCCGCCTCCACCCCGTTCTCTGTGTCGATGATCACGCTCGCGCCGTTCCTCATTCGGTAGACGCTCTTCGGCGACTTGGTCACCGCCGGCAAATTCAATGCCGAAGCATGCCAACCGACATAGAATCACTAAAAGGCATTGACTTTTGAGCTTTGCACATGAAATTACATATATATATATCCTCAAAGATCACGATCAACAAACGGTCAAATATATGAAGGACTTAATTGAGTTAAAATTGGAAAGTTAAGGACTTAATTGGTTGAAATCAATAGTTGAGGACCAATTTGTGAATTTAGTTATAGTCGATGGACCATTTTGGGTATTTACTCTACTTTTTATTTTCTCACCAAATATATATAGTGTGATGTTCCTATAAGAACCACCATCCTATTAGTCCATGAGAACCAATCTAGTGCATTAAAAAAACATATCTATGGTCTATGGATCGGATGAGATCAATTAGGGGGTTCAAAATTCACATGTGCATATGTAGCATATGCGGTGTGAAATTGGGGATTTCAAAATTTACGTATACGTATTAAGCATGTGTTGTGTGCATTTGGGGATTCAAAATCTGTGTGTGCATATTAAGCATGTGTTGTATGCAACATAGGATATGCACACATCGCATGCCCTATATGCACATGCGAATTTTGAACCCCCAACTAATCTCATCAATAGATCTAATCTTTTAATGCACTAACTTGGTTGTAATATGGTGCCATCACATTACATTGTAGTGGTGCAATTTCTCCTTTATTTAATTTTTGTCATTTCACCTTTTAACAAAGATAGCTAACATGAGTTTTATTATTTTTTTTTTTTTGGGAAATGATTTTTATCATTATGTCTCTTGTTCTAATATGTAATTTGTCTTTCTCGTAAACTCTTTTAATTGAGTGATGAAGTTATATGTCAATCATTTTTATTAAATGGTGAAACAAATTAAATGTAAATGATTTTGTTTCAAAAAAATAAAAGTGATTAATTGTGAAAAGTAAATAAAAAATATAATAAAATAAAATTAAAATAGTAGAACTAATTAAAATATAGTGTGAATGACTAAAAGTGAAATTTAAACTATAATTAATTAATTATAATCTAGCAGTCAGTGAATTGGGCCGGCCCGTCTTCATAGTTCAATCACCATCTCGGTTACCTCGGTACTTCATCGCCGATTGCGTAATACGAAGAATTTGGAATTTGGAGTGTTTGAGAGGGGCGTAGAGGAGAAAAGTCGTAGAAGGAATTAAGGAAAGATAAAGATGGCTGTGATGGGTAAATTGAGAATGTTCGTAGTCCAAGAACCTGTCGTTGCTGCTTCTTGCCTCATCGCCGGCGTTGGTAATTTCCCCCCCTTCTTTTTTGTTTTTTGTTTGAAACAGATATACAAGCATGCCCTTTTGATGTAGATGTATGGTAGCTGAAATCAAATAACATATTATGTAATTTTCATTATTTTTTGTTTAATTTGGTTTCCTAATATGTCTGTATCCGTTCTTTGTCTTTGTATACAATTCGATTGCCGGAGCGATTGGATCCGTCATCAGTTAGGCTAAGCGGTTTTCATCTGCGGTTTTAGTTAAGAATTACAAATTGTCCAGCAAACTCTAAAACTTTTTACGAAATCTAGGTGGTTCTTGCGGTGAGGACACCGCTTTTAATTGCGGACTATGCATCGATCGTTTTAGGGTTGTAAAATTTATTCTTTAAAAAAAAATAAAAATCTGAAACTTGTTGTTTGGATTGCGGGAAAAGATTTTCCCAAGCCACATTCTGAGGAAATGGGTTTTGACTTGGCTTAGATGAAATGAGTTTGAAATTTATGTTCCATTTCTCTTTATATAATTATATGCTTCTGCATTAGGATTTGATTTCTGTTGTTATTGCAGTCATAATCAGGGTAATCTAGAGACACTGTGGATCATCTTAATGTGTAGTAATATGCTGATCAAGGCAATCTCGTTTCAATTGTTTCCCTGGCCTGTTATTTTACATTTTACATATATTATAATGTATGTATTAATGCTTTTGTTTTTAGTAGGAAATGGGATGCTGCATTTAATCAATTCTGATCTATTATAAATTCTTGGAGTGTTACTACTTATGTCATGTATGAATTGTGATTTAACTCCATTCACAGTCAACATTTTCTTTTCCAGATGGATATCTAATCTCAAAAGCAAAACTATTTGTTAATTTCTTTATATACTCTATTTACATGTGTCCCCTATTTTCACAGTGAATTTAGAATATGGGTGGTTTATGTTAGGGTTTTTGTGTTGTGACCATTTCAGGGCTCTTCCTCCCAGCAGTTGTAAGGCCTATGCTAGACTCTTTTGAATCATCCAAGCAAGTCCCTCAACCTGCTCTAACTGATGTATGTAAAGTACTGCTTAATTATGTAGTTATTTTTGTGTGGGATTGGTTATATGCTATGCTATGACAGAGTTGGTTTAAATAAATTTATAGATTGTGTGTTTGTTTGTTTGTTTGTTTTTGGCAGGTGGTTGCTGGTATGACTGGTAAAAAACAGGGGTAGATGATTGCAGAATAGTTTGTGTAATTTTATCCCTTGAGATTTCTGTGTTTTTTATGGGAATAATAAGATGGTGGTATCTGTCTATCGGATAATGCTGAGATTTTGTAGTTGGAAAATTTCCTCATTTGCTGACGTATATGCTATGCTACTCAAAGTCGAGAGAGATTGCTATTAATAATAATATTATGTTTGTTATATTTGAGTGAATGCATGTATGTCGTATGTAATTTCAGAACAGCTATGCCAATTCAATTATGTTGAGATGGTGAAATTTGGGTAGGAGCAGCCCTTGTTATGTACCTGATCTGCTTTTGAAAGTGTCAAACTGAACTTCTACACATTGTGCGATCAGACGAAGGAGGGAAGGAGGGACAACCATGCCTGCTTCCATACTCGTCCAGGACGAAGGTGGGGCAACCATAGTTGCTTCCCCATTCATCCATAGTAGACGAAGATGGAGGCAGCTATGGTTGTTAACAAGGTGGTCCCAGGTCAACAAAATAATTTGCCATCCACCACTTACAAATTTCTAATCGAGTTAATTATTGAAATGGTCCCTTGATTATAGTAAAATTACAAATTTGGTCTTTGACTATTTTTTTGACCAATTAAGTCCCTCAACTTTAAAAATCTTAACCAATTTGGTCCTCAATTTGTTTGATTGTTAGTCAACCATTAACTTGGGACCAAATTGGTAATTTGTTATAGTCAAGGGACCATTTTGGTAATTAACTTTAAGGTGGGCAATTTGGTTAAGTTTTCTCAAATCGAGTTGTACCAAACTAGTTAGATTCGGTAATATACTGAACAATCGAACGGTAATATATTCTTGTATACCGAACAGGTCAGTAAAAACTCGAACCGAACCGAATACCATTTGAACTTTGGATTGCTATTTTGTTATATAGTAGACTTTGGCTATGGACTATGTAAACACCATAACACATAATATAGAACTTTTGATAACAAACCATAAAGAAATCAAATAAAACATTTACGAGAGATACCCGTGAGAATAAGAGCTGAACGGCAGAGCAATCAGTAAGGGATTTGGATTTACTTTGTATTTATTTATTTATTTATTTATTATTATTATTATTATTATTATTATTATTATATTTTTTAAAAAAAAATCAAACGGTATTTGGTTCAGTTCAATTTTTTATCGAACAATTCGAATCGGGTCGGGTCAGTTTTTTATAGAACCGTACAAGAATCCAATACCGTTCGGTTGTTCGGTATATTACTGAACCAAACTAGTTCGATTCGAGAAAACTAAACCGAATTGTCCACCCCTAAAGTTAATTACCAAAATGGTCCCTTGATTATAGCGAAATTACCAATTTGGTCCCAAGTTAACGGTTGACTAACGATCAAACAAACGGAGGACCAAATTAGTTAAAATTTTTAAAGTTGAGGGACTTAATTGGTTAAAAAAAATAGTCAAGGACCAAATTAGTAATTTTGTTATAGTCAAGGGACCATTTTAGTAATTAACTCTTTCTAATTTTATTGGGACTTGCTTTTGTTTTGGTTATTATGTGTATGATCAATTGTTATGCCATGGACCTGGGTCTACCTTGCAAGGTGGATCTAGGTCCAAAACGTGCATATGAAATAACGGTGTTGTTAGTGACACCGTTTTCTCAATCAATGATGTTTTTTTTTTTTTTTTTTTTTTTTGTGAATATAGAGTTTTGCAATTTTGAATATTGAGTTCTGTAATTTTGTATATTGAAATCTAAATTTGTGAATATAGAGTTCAAAATTGTGAATATAGATGAACGAATTTTGAAGACAAACGGTAAGGAATGAAGTATTTCTTTTTTAAATTCAAACGGTGTTGTTTTGAAACAAAATGATGCCATTTTGAACTTGGGTCCACAACATAATTTAACGTGTATGATGGATGGGTTTAGCCCAAAACTCTCCCCCCCCATGTAGGGGCAAATTATACTGTGCATTCGTATGCACCATGCATGGTGCATACGGATGCAAAAACGACGTCGTTTTGCATCAAAACGCGGGTCCTACTTAAAAAAAAATCAGTTTCGGTTCCCAGCAATAACATTATGTTGTTCATTTTTTAGTTCATTCATTTTGAATTTTTAGTTATAAAATTATGGATGTGTAGGTATATGCAATTCTGGATTTATAGTTATGAAATTATGGATATTAATTATGCATGGTTTCATTATGGAATTCTGGATTTTATAGTTATGAAGTTATGGATGTATAGTTATGCAATTCTGAATGTATAGTTATGCAATTCTGGATGTATAGTTATGAAGTTATGGATATATAGTTATGTAATTCTGGATTTATACTAATGAAATTATGAATTTGTAGTTATATAATTATGGATGTATAGTTATGAAATTATGAATGTGTAATTATGCAATTCTGATTCTATTTTTTTTAAGAGCGCGCAATGATAAGGTAGCAAGGTGTTATTGTATGGATTGGACCACTTGAATTGCTTATATTAGGAGGATAATTGGTATTTGGTATTGAATCAATTTGTGTTGTGTGTCTGTTGCGTTTAACACCACACCCACTGGCCACAGGACATTGACGTACCTACCCCACCCTTACCTGCCTCCATCCATCTCTAATCTCTATCTCTTTTACCACTTTTCAGTTTTCACACCTCCTTCTCCTCCTCCTTTCTATTTCTTTTCTTTTCTATAAAATACAAACAAAAACTTTTTTTTTTTAAACCAAAGACGGAGAGATATCATTCATTAAGATCCAAATTCAAAACGTGTGCAATGAAGGAAAAAAGGATAAAAAAAAACAGTTCATAGTCAGACATGGACAAGACTTTTCTAGTTAAACAATGAACAACTTTGTTCGCGAACCACTTTGCAAACAAAAAGTTTAAGTTAGTAAAACTAAAAGCTATTTTTCTAATGTCAATTAGAATGATCCAGATCAAAGATGAGACAGAATCATGTGTATGAATAATGCCATTAACGGCATGAAGACAGTCGCTCTCCACTTGTAGATTGTCAACATGTTGGTCTTTAATCCATTTCAAAGCATCACGTATTCCAATAATTTCTGCCTCAGTTGGTTTGAAGGCACTGCACCAAGGTAGACGGCTAGCAGCAACGAAACAACCCGCTGAATCAGGAAGAACAAAATCAAACCCCATTTTATTGTTGTGTTGATTAAGAGCAGCGTCAACATTAAATTTGAGCATTTGAGCGGAGATCTGGACCAAACAATGTTAACATCGGTAAACCTGGCAGTAGTATTTGTAACAACATCAACAGAAGTCCATTCAAAGAAATTTTTTTTTTGCATATTGGCAGGTAAATGAAGCCGATAGAAACAAAAACATGAAACCAACATTTTTATTCAAACAATATTTGATAAAAATGGTACTAACACATGGCCTGCAGGCCTTTCTTTCTTCTTCTTTTTTTTTTTTTTCAAAAAAAAATTAAAAATAAAAATCAACTTTGACCGGGTCCAATTTTGCCAAGTGCTGTTGCGGGGTCCACACCACTCATGGCATCAATTTCGAAGGCCTACCCAGCACGTGAAACCTAATCACTTCACTTCCGTTCAAAACTCTTCTTCCTCCTATTCTTCTTCCCTCCCTACTAAGTACTAAACTTGACACTACGTATTTCACTATTTGAATTGGACTACTTTACTTTTTTTTTTTTTCTTTTCTTTTCTTATATGACTCTTCACATAATTATTTCTCATTTAAAATAAAACTATTATACAAGTCAAATACAACAAGTTTGTTATTAAATTTTAAGAATTCGTGTGATGTTTTTTCTAAATTAAAGATTGATTTAGAAACTTGAAAAATATTTTATGCATATTAGACAGTTAGATTGTTATGAGTTGGTTAGAGCTAAATGTGTAACAGTTACCTATCTTTGTGCTAATCTCTGTGTATAAGTAGTCCTGTAATCTACGCTCAATAAACACACATTTATTATTTCACCAATCTGGTATCAGTTTGCTTTGTCGATCCTATGGCAACCAACGACATTCCATCGTCAATCTGCTCCACATACCCACGAACAAAACGGGTGTGTGGAGCGGCGAAACCGGCATGTGGTAGAAACCGGGCTAACCTTACTCGCCCAAAGTCGTGTTCCTCAGAAATATTGGTCCTTTACTTTCGAGTCAACGGTGCATCTAATAAACCGCCTTCCGTCCACAGTCACACAAAATGTCAGTCCTTACTCCCTCCTGTACCACAAGTCTCCCAATTATAGTCTTCTAAGGGTTTTTGCGTGCGAGTGCTTCCCATGTCTCCGTCCATATAACAAACACAAGATGGATTTTCGGTCCACTCCTTGTGTGTTTCTGGGATACCTAGATTCTATCCTTGGTTACAGGTGCTTGGACAGACAGACCGGGCGGGTGTCTCCGCTTTAATGAGGACATATTTCCATATCAACAACAGCAGCAACATACCACTGGTGTCCCCACAACCAACGCTACATCACCATGGGCCAGCGCAAGCATTCACTTAGCACCCCAACCTGTTCCAGCTGCACCAGTTGCCGCACCGCAACCTCGGCCGAGGCGTCTACCACCGCGTCTACCGGCCTCGGCTTCAACCAGCCACCTTCCGGGCCAGCCTCCAGTCATACCGCCTTCGTCATCTTCAGCAGAGGCAACGTCTTCATCTCTTCAGCCGACGACCTCGTCATCCACCACCACCCACAGGCGCCGTCGCGTAAGGTCCACCTTACGCACGCATGGCATGCAGCTACGCACCACAACGCATGTGAAGCGTCACCCTACCGCCTTGGTGGCTTCGGTCGAAGATGATGAGCCCTCTTGTCATACTCAAGCTATCAAGTCACCACAATGGCGTGCCGCGATGGATGCTGAGTTCAACGCCCTTTGCAAAATAATACATGGCGCCTTGTACCTGTAACATAAAATATGAATGTAATAGGTAGTAAATGGGTGTTTCGCATTAAGCGGAAATCTGATGGAACCGTGGATAGATACAAGGCCCGCTTAGTGGCCAAGGGGATTAATCAAATCCCGGGCGAAGATTATCTTGAAACCTACAGCCCCGTGGTTAAGCCTACCACCATACGGCTGTTGTTGGCGTTTGCCGTGTCAGCTAACTGGACCATGCGCCAGCTAGACGTGCACAACGCGTTCCTCAATGGCCACATAGAAGAAGATATATACATGCGGCAGCCGCCAGGCTACGCAAA